CTATTCTCTTATTCATCAGAACATACAGTGAGGGAAAAAAGTATTTGATCCCCTGCTGATTTTGTACGTTTGCCCACTGACAAAGACATGATCAGTCTATATAATAATAATACTTTTAGCAAAAATGTTTATTTTTAATTCACAATCTGTAGAAGCAATGAGAATAGAAAGGTTCAGAACTTTTGTAAAACATCACAGTACAGTTGAAATATATATGGCAAATAGAAATCCTATATGGATGGTGTTAAGAGATAGATGGGAGGTATTGAATAGAGTTGAAGGATGGGACTAATAACAAATAACAACAAATAATAACAAAGATAGCTAATAATGTAAGCATACTGTGTCCATAATAAGTATATAGGTTGTATGTTGGGAGCTTTTGGGAAAGAGCACAGTTAGAAAGATATGGCATATAGAAGCAAACCGGATGGACATCATGAAAATGATCGGAGAGGTTGAGAGTAGAAGAAGTTCAGGAGCAAAAAAATAAAAAATAAAATATAAAATATATATATATATATATATATATATATATATATATATATATATATATACAGTGGGGGAAAAAAGTATTTAGTCAGCCACCAATTGTGCAAGTTCTCCCACTTAAAAAGATGAGAGAGGCCTGTAATTTTCATCATATGTACACGTCAACTATGACAGACAAAATGAGAAAAAAAAATCCAGAAAGTCACATTGTAGGATTTTTTATGAATTTATTAGCAAATTATGGTGGAAAATAAGTATTTGGTCAATGACAAAAGTTTCTCAATACTTTGTAATATACCCTTTGTTGGCAATGACACAGGTCAAACGTTTTCTGTAAGTCTTCACAAGGTTTACACACACTGTTGCTGGTATTTTGGCCCATTCCTCCATGCAGATCTCCTCTAGAGCAGTGATGTTTTGGGGCTGTCGCTGGGCAACACGGACTTTCAACTCCCTCCAAAGATTTTCTATGGGGTTGAGATCTGGAGACTGGCTAGGCCACTCCAGGACCTTGAAATGCTTCTTACGAAGCCACTCCTTCGTTGCCCGGGCGGTGTGTTTGGGATCATTGTCATGCTGAAAGACCCAGCCACGTTTCATCTTCAATGCCCTTGCTGATGGAAGGAGGTTTTCACTCAAAATCTCACGATACATGGCCCCATTCATTCTTTCCTTTACATGGATCAGTCATCCTGGTCCCTTTGCAGAAAAACAGCCCCAAAGCATGATGTTTCCACCCCTATGCTTCACAGTAGGTATGGTGTTCTTTGGATGCAGCTCAGCATTCTTTGTCCTCCAAACACGACGAGTTGAGTTTTTACCAAAAAGTTATATTTTGGTTTCATCTGACCATATGACATTCTCCCAATCCTCTTCTGGATCATCCAAATGCACTCTAGCAAACTTCAGACGGGCCTGGACATGTACTAGCTTAAGCAGGGGTACACGTCTGGCACTGCAGGATTTGAGTCCCTGGCGGCGTAGTGTGTTACTGATGGTAGGCTTCGTTACTTTGGTTCCAGCTCTCTGCAGGTCATTCACTAGGTCCCCCCGTGTGGTCCTGGGATTTTTGCTCACCGTTCTTGTGATCATTTTGACCCCACAGGGTGAGATCTTGCGTGGAGCCCCAGATCGAGGGAGATTATCATTGGTCTTGTATGTCTTCCATTTCTTAATAATTGCTCCCACAGTTGATTTCTTCAAACCAAGCTGCTTACCTATTGCAGATTCAGTCTTCCCAGCCTGGTGAAGGTCTACAATTTTGTTTCTGGTGTCCTTTGACAGCTCTTTGGTCTTGGCCATAGTGGAGTTTGGAGTGTGACTGTTTGAGGTTGTGGACAGCTGTCTTTTATACTGATAACAAGTTCAAACAGGTGCCATTAATACAGGTAACGAGTGGAAAACAGAGGAGCCTCTTAAAGAAGAAGTTACAGGTCTGTGAGAGCCAGAAATCTTGCTTGTTTGTAGGTGACCAAATACTTATTTTCCACCATAATTTGCAAAAAAATTCATTAAAAATCCTACAATGTGATTTTCTGGAATTGTTTTCCTCAATTTGTCTGTCATAGTTGACGTGTACCTATGATGAAAATTACAGGCCTCTCTCATCTTTTTAAGTGGGAGAACTTGCACAATTGGTGGCTGACTAAATACTTTTTTCCCCCACTGTATATATATATATATATAATATAATTATTGTAAAATTAACTCTGTCCATAAGGTGTAGATAGTACGTATAGACCGGAAGTAGAGGCCTGGGCATTGTTGTTCACTAATTTACTCCAAGTAGGGAAAGGATGGTGGGGTTGAAAAGTAATAAAGGGGAGTATATATTTTTTTTTAAACATGGGGGATTGGAAGTGATGTAGACAATTACATTGATAGAAGATACAATCTATCTGCAATATTAAGCTGATCCATTCCCCGCCCCCCCCCCAAAAAAAAATAAATAAAAAAATAATAAAAAAAGACATGATCAGTCTATAATTTTAATTTTAATGGTAGGTTTATTTGAACAGTGAGAGACAGAATAACAACACAAAAATCCAGAAAAACGCATGTCAAAAATGTTATAAATTGATTTGCATTTTAATGAGGGAAATATGTATTTGACCCCTCTGCAAAAAATGACTTAGTACTTGGTGGCAAAACCCTTGTTGGCAATCACAGAGGTCAGACGTTTCTTGTAGTTGGCCACCAGGTTTGTAGACATCTCAGGAGGGATTTTGTTCCACTCCTCTTTGCAGATCTTCTCCAAGTCATTAAGGTTTGGAGGCTGACGTTTGGCAACTCGAACCTTCAGCTCCCTCCACAGATTTTCTATGGGATTAAGGTCTGGAGACTGGCTAGGCCACTCCAGGACCTTAATATGCTTCTTCTTGAGCCACTCCTTTGTTGCCTTGGCCGTGTGTTTTGGGTCAATGTCATGCTGGAATACCCATCCACGACCCATTTTCAATGCCCTGGCTGAGGGAAGGAGGTTCTCACCCAAGATTTGACGGTACATGGCCCCGTCCATCGTCCCTTTGATGCGGTGAAGTTGTCCTGTTCCCTTAGCAGAAAAACGAGTTGAGTTGATGCCAAAGAGCTCGATTTTGGTCTCATCTGACCACAACACTTTCACCCAGTTCTCCTCTGAATCATTCAGATGTTCATTGGCAAAATTCAGACGGCCCTGTATATGTGCTTTCTTGAGCAGGGGGACCTTGCGGGCGCTGCAGGATTTCAGTCCTTCATGACGTAGTGTGTTACCAATTGTTTTCTTGGTGACTATGGTCCCAGCTGCCTTGAGATCATTGACAAGATCCTCCCGTGTAGTTCTGGGCTGATTCCTCACCGTTCTCATGATCATTGCAACTCCACGAGGTGAGATCTTGCATGGAGTCCCAGGCCGAGGGAGATTGACAGTTCTTTTGTGTTTCTTCCATTTGCAAATAATCGCACCAACTGTTGTCACCTTCTCACCAAGCTGCTTGCCGATGGTCTTGTAGCCCATTCCAGCCTTGTGTACAATCTTGTCCCTGACATCCTAGGAGAGCTCTTTGGTCTTGGCCATGGTGGAGGGTTTGGAATCTGATTGATTGATTGCTTCTGTGGACGGGTGTCTTTTATACAGGTAACAAGCTGAGATTAGGAGCACTCCCTTTAAGAGTGGGAGACAGAAATCTTTCTGATTGAGAGGGGGTCAAATACTTATTTCCCTCATTAAAATGCAAATCAATTTATAACATTTTTGACATGCATTTTTCTGGATTATTTTGTTGTTATTCAGTCTCTCACTGTTCAAATAAACCTACCATTAAAATTATAGACTGATCATTTTTTTGTCAGTGGGCTAATGTACAAAACTTTTTTCCCTCACTGTATGTAAACCATACAAAAACTGCTCTTCTACAGTACATATTCTTCTACAAAAATGTTCCTAAAAAAAAAAAATGTAATGATGGTTTGCTAGTCCATTTCAAAGTAAACACATTTATTTGAAATGAGAGAGAATCTCAAATGTTGACATTTTATTCTTCACACATTAACCACTTTGTTGTTAAGTAATTAGCTAGCTGACATTCTGTCCAATGAGCACCTTATCATTGTGAAATAGACTGATGGTTTTGCTTTGTTTGTTACTATAGACTGCATTTTGCTTACTGTTGCATTGCGGTTTGTGCAGACACCCAGAGCGAGGCCTATTTGTCTGCTAAGACACAGACTCGTGTCGTCTTTGACGTAACAGGCGCTGAGATTTGTCTTGTTTTGGAGCATGGCCTATTAATGAAACATTGGAACATAATGAAGCAAAAAAACTAACTGACATCTCATTGTCTTTGGAGGGAAGCTTGACATTCAAAGTCACTGTTCGAGCAGTTCTTTCACCACTGGAGAAACAAAAGCATGACAAATATCCTGGACCTGTGTGTGCTTCTGTTGATAGCAGGCCCAATACCAGGTTAGTATCTTCCAATCATACTAGGCTACCAATATTCTCACAAATAAATATATTTTTTCTGTGTTTATGATTACGAACATAGAGCATAGCATTTTCTTCAGCATATTCACCGTAATAATTAATGTGTTATACAATGTCCCTAAGGATATTACAGTACATATACATTTACCTAATTACATAAATTCTGCCTTCTGTTTTGGCTTCAAGTCTTTCTGTTTTGGCTTCAAGTCTTGCAATAACAAGACTACTGTTGACAACACTACTGATCTAATTATTTTCAGAAGTGGATAGAGTCATGAGTTTTGTTTGTCAAGATAAGAGGAGTAAAACTCATTAGTCATGGAGAAAGTCACTCCAACTCACTCATTTTCACTTGAATAAAAAACTATGATCATCTCCAAATACACCTCAACATCATTGGTACTGTATGAGTAGCCTGAGGAAAGCTTTGTGGAAAATGCCTTTGAACTGAAGGTCTTGCTGTTTTTTTTGTCATATTAAATATTCTGTCTTACCTTGATGAAGAAGCATTCACTGGTTGTGTCCTCACTCAGCCCCGTTAAGGATGGTAACAGCAGAGGGGTTAAAGGTGAGGCAGTGGCCCCCTTCTTTCACTGTAATGCGGGGTCAGAGTGCCAACCTGTACTGTCGTTTCGAGGCCACGTCCTACGGGGTGGACTGGTTCAAGATGGAGGGGGCCGAGAAGGTCCCCATCCCAGATTCAGCTGGGCAGACGTCCCTGGTGATAACCGAGGTGTCCGTGGAGGATGCCGGTGTGTATTACTGCGAGGTCAACGTCCTACACAGAGATCCAGAGCGAGGGAACGGCACAAAGCTCATTGTCCTGGGTAAGACAGAAACAAATTAGCCTGGTCCCAAATCTGTTTGTGCTACCTTGACAACTCATATGGCCATTGCTTGGCATGATAATGACCATAGGATTAAGCATTAAAAATCATCTGGAACCAGGCTAAGAACTAGCTCTGATAAGAAATAAATGCATCCGCCTTTATTCTTGGAATGTCTTCTTGTAACTCATTAGAGTTTCTCATCATTATTTCTGTCTTTGTAGGTATTGTTGTTGTTGTTGTCATTGTTGTAATTGTCTCTCATTTGTATCCTTTGAGCATTTGTTTGAACCCAAATGGTTAGCAGGGAGGCAATTACATTTAAACCAGTGGGCTATGCATCACCATAAAGAGGCCTAACCAAGCTCAAATCTATAACAATTCTAGCCATGTGGAAATTTCCTTTCCGTTCATCTTTTTGCCTGAGTGGTTTCGTGACAGATCCAGATACAATCACCCCGGCACAATGCATTGTGGATTCTATTGATCTTTGCAGGGAATTGAAACCCACCACAGAACAAGGCAAAGAGGCATCGTCAAATTATTATGTGCAAACCCCTCATGCGAAAGAGAAGGTTCCTCCCAGCGTTTCTCCAGTGGGGTGCACGTTACAGAGTCCTGCACCATTTACAGAACCATGACTGTGTCATTTTGCCACAACTGTATTACCAACATGGTCTGAATAGAATATGTCAAAATAGTGAAATATAACATACAGTATAACTACTATGGTTAATTGTTAACAATCTGACATATTTCGAATGAGCGGCAGGTAACCTAGTGGTTGAGAGCGTTGGGACAGTAACCGAAAGGTTGCTGGTTTGAATCCCCGAGCTGACTAGGTGAAAAATCTGTCTTTGTGCCCTTGAGAAAGGCACTTAATCCTAATTGCTCCTGTAAATTGCTCTGGATAAGAGCATCTGCTAAATGATGACAAAATGTAATAAGATAGATGGTATTGCATCACCCCCTTCCCGTTTCTCCTCCTGCCCCTAATAGCACCCCCCTCTGTGCCCCAACTCCTCCTCCAGGTCCCCTCGGACCCCCAGACTGACCAATGGGCTCTCCTCTGTGTCACTGGTGGGTTCCACCCACACCACCTCACCCTAACCTGGACCCACCAGGGTGGAGAAGATAGCCCCCACCGCTTTGTTGGCAGCAACTGCACCATTCAAATCAACCAATCACACAGCCTGATTCCAAAGCTCTCAACTCCTAATTGGATGGGAGAGTGTTTCCAGGTGACGGACAGCTCCAGAAAGGAAGTGTACGTAATCAGTGTGCTGTCCCTCCCCCCGCGGGGGTCTGTGGATGCTGGAGTCTCCTACACCTGTAGTGTGCACTGGACTCATCCCTGTCTGCCTCCTTCTCCTGGGGTGAGCTTTAGTTAACACTACTGAGAGGCTGTATTTCACTAGGCTATTTCTCATATGGCTCAAATATCTATTCACAGCCAACAGCTTGCATGGCATACTTGAGTGAAGTCAAGGTTTTCCTTATCAAATTTTATACAGCTGTGCTTCCACTACACACAGCTTCAGTCAATCATGGGCATTTAACGACTGCAAATTGAATTCACCCTCAGGTCTGTCATCATTGTGTGAGGTCCATAACTGTATACCTTAACCCTAGGTTAAGTTTGCATTGCCTTTTTGTCTACGCTTACAGACGCAGCCCCCAATGAGGTGATTGGATGCTAGAATATCCTTAAGATCTGTGTCCTCTGTGGAGTGACTGTGGTGTTTTCCATTGCAGGTAAGTACTGTATGGTCACACTCACAAGATCTCACAAGGATCATGGGAAATGGAGTCATGGAAATAATTGTATGGTCCATGTCTTGAGCATCAGTCAATTGAGATGTTTTAGATAATGTCTTTGTCTCCACAGCACAATTTTGTGTGAAAAAAAAGACCTCATGTGTCCTATGTACGGTAAGTACACACACACACACACACATTCATACACCCATTCTGGTTTACATCTCTATCTGTTTAGCTATCCAACATTGTGAGAAAAAGTCAACACTAACACACAATCCATATTTGTCCAAATTAATGTCTTCCAGCAAATAAAGGGAAAAAACAAAGGATCTGAACACACCAAGAGCATCCGATTTTCTGCTAAATCACTTCCTTAATTAATAGGCTACCCACAACAGCTTCTATACTGATCTTTATTGCATGGTACATTTCCTGATCAGATGGCACACTTTTTAGGACAATGAGTATGCTGGGTTTTTACTGAGGGACTTTCTTTGGGGACCAGGAGTTTTGTCTATAAGCACATGCCACAGCACTGTTTTAAAAACTAACTCTACTCTCTCTCACTTTTCCCCCTTGATGTATATTCTTCCCCTGCTCACACATTCTGTAATATCCCCCAATCATGATGCAACACTGATGCTATGTGAAACTTTAGGTCTATGTTGCATGTTGAACGGAATCCTTCTTCTACCATTTTGCAATCGTGTCAAGTGCTACTGTGCTGCTGAATGCTTTTATTAGTCATACTGTACTCTACTGTCAAAATTAATGTCTCATGGATGGTGTGGCTGTCAAATAGATATGTGCAATAATCAACTCAACTTCTGTTGGAGCATAATCCTTGAATAACCAGATTTTAAAAAGTGAAGGCACTTCCTGGTATGAAAGTATTGAATCTATGGGTTTATGTTGGTGGAGTGGGCTTTACTTGCACGTGTTACAGGTACTGTACAGCAGCGTGCTGTATAGTATACATGCACCACCCATGATACGTAATCAGAGAAAATAGTCTCTGTGTAAATATTTGAGAGGCTCATCAATTATCATGAGTTACACTGTATGAGGAATTATGTCTGAAGGGATGGTCATCATGTTAAACATGTTATGACTCCAAAACAGTAGTAAGAACCAAGGAGCCACAACAACCTGATTCTGTTAAAGTATTCCATTGCCAACCTTTTTGCTTGTAATTTTGTGACCAATTCAATGCTGTTGAACTATTATAGTATTTTTGTTCCTGTAATTCACAAAATGAACATGGTTTTATTTCAACATAAATATCTTTATTTGGTTCCCACAATCAAACAATGACGGTCCCATGTTAGAGCTGTATACAAAATGGGACAGTGAGTCCACATTCATTTCACGAAGCCAATAATAGTAATCTGTGGACACAATGAATCACACATACACACAAAATCCCTCATTTACGCATGTGTGCTCATGCATACACACACACACACACACACACACACACACACACACACACACACACACACACACACACACCAACTCTGCTCAGTGCTCAAATTCAGTTGAATAGCTAGCACACACAGCGCATACTGTATCATCGTTCCTTTTCAACCATATGCAATCATACTGTGACACTTGTTTGTGGTGCTCATCTCTCAGTGCTGAGAGATGTTGTTCTGATGTGTCTCTCAGATGTTAGAGTCATTGTTCTCTACAATTGAGATCACCATAACTGCTCCTAGTTGTGTAAACGGGTTTCAACCTTGTGAAATACAATTTTCAACAATGTTGAAAAAAACATTTGACCTGCTAATCAATTATCATTTTCTGTTCTGTTTGCCTATCTTGTCAGGCAACCCAATACAACAAATGAACTCTCAAACTTCTTTCATGCACTGTCACAGTAGGTATGTACTTATAATACATAATTGGTAATGATGCACTTGATTACAGCTAACTGCAGCAAGACAGTAAGGCAGTAACTCCCTATTGTGAGCCCTTGTTTTGTGTCTCTCAGGAGGAAGGCAGGCTCCGTATCTCCCATATCCTGTCTCTAATCTAAGAAGGAAGTTTGCCCGCCAATGATCAAACAGAGACGCAGATACAGTAAATGACAGTCTCTCCCGTCTCACATGTAAAAACATAAACATCAGAGTACTCATATCCTGCCTCTATGCATGAGGAGCACAACGTCTCATTTCAGTTAATACAGGCCCTATTCAATTAGCTTCAGACAGCATTCATCTCCACTTGTTTGGGTCCCTTATCTTTCTGAGGCTCACTCGTTCCCTTCCGAGTGGACCAGTGGATGTGACAGCCACAGAACACATACTTGGCCAGCCTGATTCTGGCCCCCTGCAGCATACTACCCAAGGGTCCCTCTGACGGCCGAGGAGGAGAAGTAGAAGATGAAGGGGTCCATGCAGGCGTTGAAGGTGCTGCAGAGCAAGGCCATGTCCCTCCAGTCGGGGTTCTTCCTGGTTATGAAGCCCACGATATGGGAGACGTTGTAGGGGCCAAAGCAGAAGGCAAACACCAGCAGTGTCCCCAGAGCCAGGCCGATAGCACGGAGGCGTCTGCGGCGCCCGATGTGGGGCAGGCCAGAGAGGATGCGGATGAAGTTGATGTAGCAGAAGCTGCAGATGAGGAAAGGTACACAGAATAGAACCAGGCAGAGCTCCAGACGCACAGGCAGGAGGATCGCCAGTTGCTTCTCGCTGAAGTCCTCATAGCACACATTCCTGGAAGACACAATGTTGTCACCGTCACTAAGAGGCGTGCTGGAGACATTGGCGAATTCGTAGACGTTGGAAGAGTTGGTTGTGGAACTGAGGGAGTCTTGCGGTGGGTTGTAGTAGGGCATGATGACGACGATGCTCAGGTGGAGGACGGAGAAGGCCCAGATAAATACACTGGCCAACACGGCATACAGGGGCCGGCGCTTCAGCGTGTGCTGGATGGGGAAGGCCACGCCCAGGTAGCGCTCCACACTGACCGCTGTCAGGAATAAGGTGCTGACGTAGATGGTCATGTAGAAGAAGAAGCTAGATAAAGGACAGAGGATGTAGGGTAGACTCCAGGTCATATCGTCCGTGACTTCCTGCATCTTGAAGGGCAGGAAGAGCAGGAAGAGGAGGTCCGAGATGGTCAGGTTGAGGAGCAGGATGTCGATGGGCTTGGCTTTCTGCCTCACCTTCTTGCTGAAGGTGTAAAAGGCCACAGCGTTGGCCGGGAGGCCCATCAAAAAGGTGATGAGGTAGACGGACAGACACAACGCAGTGTGGCACTCCTGCATGGTGGCCTCGGCGGTGGGTACAGTCACTGGAAGGCACGGGGAGCAAGATCTGTCACATCATCTCAGTGCAGTCTGGGGGGGGATGAAAGCGTCGCAGCGCAAGGGGCTTGATCTGTCAGACAGTCTGAGGCTTCAGAGGCGAAGGCTGCTTTTTGGGTCAACAGCCTGGAACAAACCCGGTTAGACAGCGTGGTTTTCCTGTCCCAGACAATAAAACCAACTCATCATCTCTTCAAGGACTCCAAGAGTCTGCTGACAAGAGAGGATAGAAGGAGATTACAACACGGCACATTACGGTTTCTGCCTTCTGTTACTCACTACTTACCCCTTTTAAGTATGCCAAGTGAAGGGTGTAATTGAAACAGAACATTTGTGTGCTCAATAATGACAATACAATACTAGCAGATGAAATAGAGTTCATAACTACAATAAAACCAAACACTCGGAAAGGCAATATGGTCAGTGTCTGTTGGCAACTGACTGTATACCTTTTGATTTTATGAGCATCTGGGTTTTGTTTAATGTGATGACTCAGGATGTGTGTGTCTGGCACATGGTTCTGTATACAAACTGTCTCAACACTACATTATTGCTTCTTGTGTCGTCTTTATAATATTGTCTTATCATTGGATGGACACCTGTTCTTCTTATACACACAAACACGGGACAGCTTGTAAAGATATTGGCGCTTATGTCCACAAACGGGTAATGCGTGGTCCTAGCTGCTACCATTCATTATTCTAGTTAGTACAACAGTCTTTTAATTTCCTGTTCTTAAACATCTCCAATAGGTCAACAATGGATTAAACAATCTCTGACATCATCAAAGGGAAGTCATAAACACAACACCTCACAATTAAGAAAAAGCTTTAACTCATTCTACCACAACCAGGGACTGAGTAGTCCTTACCATGAGGCTGTCACTACTCAGGTCAAGCATTCAAGAGAGTTATCATAGTGTGTCCGCACTGAACTGAGCTAAGAAAAACTAATACTAAGATATCTTATTATTTTACCCTCCATGTACTTCCAGCATCAAATCAAAGTCAGTATAATAAGGTAGGTAGGTAAGGCATGACCGTAGGAGAAAGTTAAACGAACATTACTTCCTTGTATTGACCAATGACTGACTAATATACTGTACGTATGGGAAATTCCTCACTCACACTTTTACTGGCAGACATGATGACAGTGAAGGATTGCCAGCAAGTCAAATAACTCACTGATCTCTTTGCCAACTCTTTACATGGTTTTGTACTTTTTCTACCATAGATAGCTACAGTATTTCATTCTACTGTGACCGGGACTGACCGCTGGAACACAAACAGTCTCTTGCACTGACTCTCTGCACCTTACCACACATGCTTATACATAAGCTCAAACTCAAACACATACATACCCGTGGGAAGTAGGCGTGCTGAGGGTGCTGCAGCACCCCCTGAAAAATCGGAATAAAAAAAATAACGAAAGAAATCTCAGCACCCCTATTCCTAAACTACTTCCCACGGCTACGCACACGCGCACACACACACACTCAAACACACACACACTCCATGACTGCTGCTACTGGAATACTATTTATTATTACTGCACAATGTCTATTTATTATTGACATTTCTTATCTATTGCACAATTACCCAGTCCTGTACATGTGTAAATATCCGACTTCAATTCATGAGTACCTTCTGTATTATATTTTTCCTAAATTACTATTCTATTTTTACTTCATTGAGTTTTTATTTTACTACTCTTTGTATTCACTTACTTCTTTTTTTCTATTGTTGTTGCATTGTCGAGAGGTGAACATGCAAGTAAGCATTTAATTGCACTGTGTACTCCATGTAGGCCTACAGTATATCATGTGTATATGACGAAAAAACGAACTTGACTTGAATTTATTGTAGAGTAAACAACCTTTTTGAAGTAGCAAAATATAAATAGAGAAAAAAATCTTACCTCATTCCACCGTGGATATCCTGTAAGGTCCAACAACTGAGTATGTATATTCTTAACTGTATTCTTCCCTCTGTAGCTCTGACCTCATATTGACTACAGCCAGCCACTCTGTTTACAGCATAATCTAAACATCCAGCACAGTTAACGGAAAATGATAATTAGATAGAAACCGCTGCTATCTATCTCCAACACTCTCCAAACATGGTTTCCGTAGTAACACTGTCCTGCGATAGAAGCTGGACGGTCTTAGGGCTAAGGGCTTTGAGGAACCGGCTTGTCTGCTCTGTTGGTTAATAGATGTAGACTGTTATCTGGCCTTGACTGTGACGGCCTCTTGATTAAGAGAGAAAGAGAGGAGGAGGGAGAAAACAGTGCATGAGAGAGAAAAGTGACTCACGTCCATTATAAGCATCCTACAGCAGCTCCTCCCTTGCTACCATACATACACCAGTATGATTAACTAAACATTGACTGTGGTGGTGTGAGTTCATTCTTTCATTCTGTAGGCTAACCACAGTGGAAAATCCCGCAACAGAATAATACCCAGTCATACTGACAAATATGATCCAAATATTTATTTAGTTATCCTACTTGTTCATTGTATTTGTCAGTATTATTGGTGGTGGGACATTTCTTAACAAAAAGGCAGACACAAAAAGACACTTGTATCATTATTATGGAAGGTGAATGATGTTGTTACCGGATCTGGTTGCAAATACAGGAAAAGTACCCAATCAGGTTGCCAATAGAGGAAAGGTGCTCAATATCAAAAGTCATTTGTAGATAATGTATAGTAAGCACACAGGTGGGAGCAACTGGTTTCAACCCAGGTTTGGTCCTAAACTAAAGAAGAGCATCATGAAAAAAACATTGACAATTGAAATTAAAGCTTTTCTCCTCCTTCCTATTTGTAGACTCTTATAAAGTACACCAAAAGTGAACCTTTTGAAGTGAGATTATGTTATGTTAATTGGTGCGAGACACTATTCAAGTGAGCAGATTATTTTAAACACTTCACATTATAGGGCTTATTGTTTTCAAACAGTGAGTCAATTGTGGATTGTATGCTGACCTTTTGACCTGCCTCTTTAGAATTTACTGCAATCATTGATTCTGATTTAGCTAGAAGATTACTTCTCAGAGTTTTTTTCACTTCTCAAAGACATCAGAGCAAAGTGCACAATACAGTACACTGCCGTCAGAAAGTATTCACACCCCTTGACCTTTTCCACATTTTGTTGTGTTACAGACTGAATAAAAAATGGATTGAATTGAAATATTGTGTCACTGGCCTACACACAATATCCCATAATGTCAAATGGGAATTATGTTTTTAGAAAAGTTTACAAATTAATTAATTAAAAATGAAAAGCTGAAATGTCTTGAGTCAATAATTATTCAACGCCTAAATAAATGCAGGAGTAAAATTTGCATAACAAGTCACATAAGTTGCATGAACTCATTCTGTGTTTAACATGATTTTTGAATGACTACCTGATCTCTGCACCCCACACATACAATTATTTGTAAGGTCCCACAGTCGAATAGTGAATTTCAAACACAGATTCAACCACAAAGACCAGGGAGGTTTTCCAATGCCTAGCAGAGAAGGGCACCTATTGGTAGATTGGTAAAAAGAAAAGCAGACATTGAATATCCCTTTAAGCATGATTAAGTTATTAATTATACTTTGGATGGTGTATCAATACACCCAGTCACTAGAAAGATACAGGCGTCCTTCCCAGTTGCGATTTTGTATGTAAATCTTGGTGGGGCAAACTCAGAAATGTATTTTTTAGATGCATGCCAGCAAAGCCACTACACAACACAACACTAAACAATACATTAATTGTACTATAACGGTGTCAAACGGTGTCCACAAACTGTTAGGACCTACATAAAGCTGTAACAACAGCAGAGCTTTCTTTATAGCACCACGGAGTGAATCCTTACCACTGCTACACCTGGCTTTCAGCGGAGACTTGCTGGAAGTGAAACAGTTCATTCAGCCTCATTTACTGCCTTTTTAAAAAACATAGCTAATATGGCTGACTTGCTTAAACAAATGTGGTTTCTACTGAAAATTGAGATGTACAAACTATGGCATAAGGGAACGATTAGCGGATAAGAGGCAATCCGTAATTTTGATTAAGACATTAATGAGCGAGCTAGGACGGACGTAGTCAATATAACTATTTGTTCAGCACTTTTGAAATGTACAGCGACAGAATTCAGAACATGGGCCGTTCTTACAGTATTCTCCCTGCACAGTAAGTCAAAACCGTAGGATAAATAAAGGGGGCATATAAGCAGACAATGAAATCTCTTACAATATTTGATGATTACATTTCTTTAAAACAGGCTATAGGCTACATGTGCACCACCAAGTCAGAACAGTTGTGAGGGGGAAAGGCACCAAATTATTACGGTGAGGCACATGGGCTACTAACAGCTTACTACACAACATACACAGTATTACTTTCTTAGCTACAGTATACATATCTCCCAGGCATATTACATCATTTATGCAGCAGAATACAAAACATTGTTGAACTCACCTTGTTGTGCTTGTTCACTTGAACAGGAAGGTGGTGCGGCGGTCCTTCTTGTGGGCAGATTTTGTCATCAAACCTTGTCATCAAAGTCATTCTCTGGATTTATGGTGCTTTCAAGACACCAAAACAAGGTCAAATCATGAGATCAGTGATTTTCAGGTCGGACCTCTAGAAAGAGGCCAGAGTTCCCGACTTGGAATTCCGAGTTGGATGACCGTTCAAAACGTATTTTCCCAATGGGAGCTCGTTTTTTTTCTCAGTTCCCAGTTGTCTTGAACTCACTGAAGTCTGAAATGTCCCACTTCCGAGTTTCCAGTTGTTTTGAACACGGCAGAATGACAGCATGGCCAATGTATTTAACCTTTTCTGGCCCATGGTGTTTTATGTGAATGTTTATCCTTTAAAGCTAGGAAAAGAAACCCATATTCCTCAGTCTTTTCCATAAGAACCTAAGTGCAATAAATACATTGAACAGGCTAGCATTTAGCTAACTTATGTAGCTAGCATGTAGCATTTGTAGCATATGGCTTGACAACACACTATAACAGGGGTGTCAAACTAATTTCATGGAGGGCCTAGTGTCTGCAGGTCTTTGGTTTTTAAGACATAGACAACCAGGTGAGGGGATTTCTTTACTAATTAGTGACCTTAATTCATCAATCAAGTACAAGAAAGGAGTGACAACCCACAGACACTTGGTCCTCTGTGGAATGAGTTTAAGGAGCTCTATAAGAAGCTGTCATTGGTGCTTGGTTTGCTCTCCTTCTGAGTTCTGGAGCAGACCAACAGGGGGCAGTAGAGAGCCTTACGGCAGCAGCACAACCCCTGCACCCTCTCCACCAGGCTCTTCAGGAAGAGGTGTAAGGTACCCCTGAGGGCCGACGAGGAGAAGTAGAAGATGATGGGGTCCAGGCTGGCGTTGACGGTACTGGACAAGAGCGCGTCCACCCGCCAATCGGGACTCTTCCAGTTGACGAAGCCCACTATGTGTGACAGGTTATAGGGCGCGAAGCAGACAATGAACACCAGCAGTGTCCCCAGAGACAGGCCGATGGCCCGCAGACGTTTCTTGGGGTTGATGCTGGGCAGCTGAGAGAGGATCCGGATGAAGTTGATGTAGCAGAAGCAGCAGATGAAGAAAGGTACACAGAATAGAACCAGAAAGAGCTCCAGACGGATAGGTATCAGGACCTGCAGCTGCTCCTGGGTGAAATTCTCGTAACACACGTCCAGTTCCGAAGGGTCTGTCCGGGTGGCATTGGGATGGTCTAAATATTGAATGATGTAGACGATACTGACGTGCGCCATGGAGATCGCCCAGAAGAAGACGCTAGCCACCGTGGCGTACAAAGGCCGTCTTTTGAGTTTGTACTTGATGGGAAAGGCCACCCCCAGGTAGCGTTCGACGCTGATGGCGGTCAGAAAGAAGGTGCTGTTGTAAATGGTTGTGTAGAAGACGAAGCTGGTCAATGGACACAGGAAGTGGGGCATGTTCCATTTCATGTAGTCCGCCGCCTCTTTGATCTTGAAGGGCAGGAAGAGCAGGAAGAGGAGGTCCGAGATGGTCAGGTTGAGGAGCAGGATGTTGATGGGCATGGCTTTCTGCCTCACCTTCTTGCTGAAGGTGTAGAAAGCCACAACATTGGCAGGGAGTCCAATCAGGAAGGTGATGATGTAGAACACTAGCACCAGGATGCTGTGGCCATATGTTTCCATGACTTCCTTCTTAGACAGAATTCTGCAAAAGAGGAAGGATACAGACAATGAGCTAATGTTTGCGTTAGCATAGTTAGTCAGTAAAGGTGTGAAGCAATTAAAGAAAACTGAGTCAGTGTCACTAGTTTGTATACAGAATTTCACACAAAGGTTGAATTCAGTCACAAGGATGGCTACAATGGGTGTGATGCAATTGGTTAACAAAGCCATGTAATTCTGTAAAACAAGAGTTTCTTTGAGTCTATGGTTGGACTCTCTACAGTAGACAAATGGAGGTATACAGAGCAAACGTCAACATCGTTATGGTCCTCAAGCAGGGGACTTGTTGGCAAACCCTGCCCCCTTTCCAAACTAGCAAGACCTTGCCTCTGTAGGCACAGTGCATTGGAGTGAAGCCGTTAATTGTGGCAAACGAGGTACCCATCACAACAATAAAGGGAGCGGTCTGTTTGTGCTTCACAGCCTTGAGTATCCCAGATGCCTCTCAGCTAATCCCAGTGTTAATACCCAGCGCACGCATGAACCCCTAAGCTTCCTTCTATTCATGGTGGAGCAAACTAACAACATAATACTCCCATCATGACACAAGTGTTCAGTGGCTGGTAAGCCAAAAGGACGGTATTTGAAGAGTGACTTTAATTTCTACAGAGCGAGGGGTTATTTGGTTCCCAATGACACTTCCACAAAGTATCTGTTGAAGTGATAGTCACATATTTTGGGGCTAGCAGTGTTATTAAGGATGACCTCTGCACTGGGCCATCGTGGTCCTCTGTAGCTCAGCTGGTAGAGCACGGCGCTTGTAACGCTAAGGTAGTGGGTTCGATCCCCGGGACCACCCATACACAAAAAAAATGTATGCACGCATGACTGTAAGTCGCTTTGGATAAAAGCGTCTGCTAAATGGCATATTATTATTATTATTATTATTAAGATTGTGAACAGAATAGGAATTCAGAAGAAGCTAAACAGATTTTCTGGTTTTCCATACTTCCCTGCTCACTCCAATTCAACGATTTGATGACAAGTGCATGTCAGTATGGTAATATTATGTCATTGTCAATTACATGGGGAAGAATGTAACCAAGGTAAATAATGACTTGTGAGAACTGGATCTTATTTTTCTAACCAACCTTGGGAAAGACTGATTAACACGAACATGAACACGGTCGTCTACTTCTCATTTTCTTTCCCAACACTGACTCAACAATACTTTTGCAATCAATTTGTGCTAAAACACACCCCTTGGAGGAAGGGTATAATTATTAAAAACGGGGTCATGTGAACTTCAATTGTTTACAGAAGCCCAAGTTCTCCTGAAGGGTATATGGTATCTAAATGACAATAAACACGAGAAGAATCATGGCTTCAGATGTTCAAAACACATCTCAGTTATCTTGGGAATGGTGCCAAGACATACACCTGCAGGAAGGAGGTAGCCGGCTTTTATTTGTTTATCTGGTGTTGCCGAGGAGTCGTCAAGGTGTTGTAAGCCCTCAACTGATAAAACAGCTGTCTAGCGGATGCATTTTGGTCTGGGAGGTAGGTCGTTATGAGAAACCACCATGCACTGGACATGTGGCTGTTCATGTGAGGGTAAATGTTTGAGGTTCCATGAGATTTCTCATTCATTTGACAGCTTATTTCTTTAATAAGATAGTATAAGAAATGTAAAATGACACTTGGTGTATTGTACAGAGTGAGATTTGGTGGAGTGTGCTAGTTCAGTGGTCACCAACCCTGGTTTTGGGGAACTACTGTGTCTACAGGCTTTTCTCCACCAGCACAGCCCTAACACATTGTTTTCAACAAATCAACTACTCACCAAGACCTTGATTAGTTGAATAAGGTGTGTTAGCGCAGGGTTGGAACAGAGAGAGTTTCACCTGGTCACTGATGATAAACAATGCTCACCTTGACAGAACCCAACACTTTAAATACAGCCCATCATTACAGAGGTACAATAGCAATAGAGATTTTACTCAAATTACAAAATTTTACGGAGGGTGATTGGCGAGACAGAGATGCCCATTTGGATAGCAACCATTAGACTGGAACATCACACACTCATTCCCAAAGGACAAAAAAAGCCTCTAAGAGTTTGCAGTAACCATGACAATTTAGACAGAGTGTAGTACAGACACAGAACAGAACATACCTGTACCATCTCATTACTCAAATGGATATGTGAAAAGGTTGATTACTCACCCAATTTTTATATTTTACATATTCCTAAATCAAAAATGTTACTCTTAACTGACAATTAAATAGGTCGTAAAAAGTACCATCTTCTCAACAGAAATCAGTACTGTATGAGTGCACTAGGCTTGGAACACATGCCTTGACAAATTGTTTGACCAAATATGTTCAAATATTTATGTTCCAGTTACATGGTAAGTATTTCATTTTTACCTTAGGTCTAACAGATTTCAAAAGGCTTACAGGTATTTTGTGTTTTAGTATGTCTTCCTTGTGAAATATATAAAAGCATTGTCTATCTACTTTGCCAACATTTACATAAAAGCTCCTGATAATAGCACAAGAAGCATGATGTCAAAAGAGTTCCACTGTACATACCTTAGTCAGAAAACACACACAGACACACACGCACGTTTCCTGGTCAAATGGTCAAATGGTGAGTAAGCTTGGCTCCAAATAAACGGTGCTGTTAATGATAATGTCTCAAATTGGCATACTTGAGGTGACCTACTATAGCTCATACTAAACAGGGAAGAAGATGCACATGTTCCTTTTTTTGGGGTGGGACGGGACTCTCCATTTGGGTCACACTTTATTTGGAACTATCAAAAAACTCTCAACTGCATTATGATATGCAACAGCTTACTCAGATTACAGTTCGGGTTTAGGGTTAGAGTTCGGATTTGAGGCATGGAAGCTGAGAATAGGGTTATGGGTTAGGTGTGTGGTCATGGTAAGGTTTAAAATTGGGGTTAGTATTAGGGTTATGGATAGATAGTTGAATACACGAATAACCCAAAAAATACAAAAAACCTCTCACCCAACCTTTTACATGGATCATTCGGCATGTGGAGAATGTTAATTACATATGGGAAATATCAAGCTCTCTGACTTAATGTCCCCTCTAATTAATTTCAACATAGCCTATCTGACTATTGGAAAATATTCAATGTTTTCATATAAGAACTCACACAGATCATGTGAAATCACAGTTCATGCCATTGAGTTTATTATATTGTTGTTTTTGCAAAGTTTTTACATACTTTTTTGACTCTTCAGAATAAAGATTCAAACATCCCTGTACAACAAAATGGCTAAAACTATGTGCTATTTGAATACAATGTTGAGTACAATGTCAACTCAACATATGGAGTAGTTCAGTCTAATTTTGGGGAAATCCTGCAGTGTAGAATAAAATTACATTTCTGTTTGTTGCTTGAGCAAGGAGTTCATGTGTAGAGTGCTGACTCAAACTGTATGAAGACATTAAGGATTGAATAGTTTACTGGATACTGTAAATCACAATGTATTATCCCTAGTAATTTCCCAGTTACTACAAACAAAAAACGAACTGTTTATGAGAAACTTGAATTGTGGTTACAACCCTAAGATGTTAGTTCCCATTTATAGAGCAAAGCAACCACACAATGATCTATACATTTCATGAATGGTTGTATTTGCATCAGATTTGAGGTATGATGGACAAACAAGTGGGTCAAAGTCTCTTCAAGGAAACTGTTTCAACTCTATTTCTTGGTACATCTACTGCAACATGCTTACACACCATTTTCCATGGTAACCAAGGTGACCATGGTAACCAAGCTAACCATAAAAACAAATAAAGAGAGTTGCACACTCTATGTATAAACTCCCAGTAATTTATTGGGTAAGAAAACCACCAACGTTTCGGCATCACTATGCGTTTTTCAACCAAGCTAATCATGTCAGCAAAAAAAAGTATAAGGCCCATTAATTTCCTTGATGTCCCCATTATAAGCCAAATAATGTTCATTCGGCCCAAAAAATCTAAAACAATTAGACGGGCCCGCTGGGCTAAAGATGGACCAGCCCATCTGGCATTTGCAAGAACTGCAATATGGCCAGGCCAGACCGTCTCTGCTATTCAGTATCAGTTTCTCTGCTGATCTGCTCCTTAGATTCATTTAATAAATAAATGCATAAATATTTTATAAATACATTTGTTTCTTAATACGCACGCACACACAAACACACAAACAGGCACACGCACATATTTCTCTGTTCAAAGCAGGTTTCATATTGCACAAATCAAGATAGAGCCCAGAGAAGAGGAATTCATAGTCCAGGGGCAGTGAGGAACTATTTGTTTACGGTGCATCAAACTATACTAAGTGCGAGTCCCAAATGGCACCCTAGTCCGTACAGTACATTTACAGGGCCGTGAAAAAGTGTTCAGGCTCTTTCCGATTTTCTCTATTTTTGAATTGTTTTATATTGATGATCAGATCTTCAATCAAAACCTAATATTAGATCAAGGGAACCTGAGTTTACAAATAATTAACAAAGTTATGCAACACCCAATTCCCCTGTGTGAAAAAGTAATTGCCCCCTCACTGCTCGTTTCAAGTCCTGCCACAACATCTCAATTGGGATTAGGTCTGGACTTTGTCTAGGCCATTGTTACTTCTTAGCCATTTTCATTGCCAGCTTCAGCTCACAGACGGATGGTCTGACATTCTCCTGTAGAATTATCTGATACAGAGCAGAATTCATTGTTCCTTCTATTAAAGCAAAGCATCCCCAAACCATCACACTAGCACCACGATGCTTGACTATTGGTATAAGGGACCCATGTCGTCCAAAAGGTTTTTGACTCATCTGTCCATAGAACATTCTTCCAAGAGTCTTGATGATCATCCAGGTGCTTCCAGGTGCTTTTTTAGCAAACTTGAGTCAACTTTTTGGACGAGAAGGGTCCCATTTTGTCTAGCGAATACCAAACACTGCATTTCATTGTAAGAACCTCATACCAACGGTCAAGCATGGTGGTGCTAGTGTGATGGTTTTGGGATGCTTTGCTGCCTCAGGACCTGGACAACTTGCCTTAATAATATATAGAAGGAGCCCTTTATCTAATGTTAGGTTTTGGTTGAAGATCTGATAATATTCAGTATCAAAATATGCAAAAATAGAGAAAATCAGAAAGGGGGTAATTAATTTTTCACGGCAATGTAGTGCACTACTTTTGACCAGAGGGTTGCGCACTACATAGGGAAAATGGTGTCATTTGGGATACATCCTATGTTTATGTGTGTGCCACCCATCCAGGCTCCTATCCAACACTAATTGTATAGTGAAAAGACAGGTTTAATTTATGTGTCATCCTTTTGACATAATGACACAGCATTTCACAGCAGTGACAGAAGTCCTCTATCTAGCAGGGCATTTAGAGCATCCTGGTGGTACTGATGGTAAGATGGGGGGCTATCAGGGGAGCGCTGGGCCCCCATGGTGATGATGGTAGACACATACAGTGTCAGATGAAAAGCTGCCATCTTGGAGGGTATTTAATCAGGGACTGTCACGACGAGCACCGCCTTCCCTGACATTTGTGCTGATACAGTGTGTGTGTGTGTGTGTGTGTGTGTGTGTGTGTGTGTGTGTGTGTGTCGGGCGAGCTGATAGATGAAGCCATGTGATCATTCGAATGCTTTGTTCTTTGTCTCTCCCCATAATTACCCAGAAACCTCAGCGTGGTCCGTGTGCGGCGTGAGCAAGTCGAGAGCTGTTTATCAAAACGGTACGATCTGACTGGCTTGCGTCTCGTGCTCGGCCATGCACCGTGGTTGATTGTCTACAGCGGCTGATTCATGCATTGATTGCCGCGTTGTGTTCTCTCACCAGATCTGGGTATACAATGTGACTCTTGTGTCTGTCACTGAGTCATTGTCCGAGCTTCCAATGAGTTCCTGCAAGACCTTGGAGTTGTAGCTATTATCCGTCAGGCTTTTGGCTTTATGAGATCAGGTTTATTCTGACCTTGATACAGTATATACAGTCATGGATTGTGAGTGTTGGGGCTACTCAAAAATCGGCTGCTATAATTAAGATTGTGTAATCAGAAACACGACGTGAAAAGATTTCAGCTGTGATGACTCTATTGCCCTCAAGAGACCTCAAGTTAATGTGTTATTAACAGAAACAATTCTAAGATATATTCTAAGATATTTAGGTATGTGTCACGATCGTTACTGGATGAAGCGGACCAAGGCGCAGCGTGATATGCGTACATTTTATTTATTGAAGTACACACACGAACAAAACAACAAACCAAACGATACGTGAAGTCCTAGGTTAACACCAAAACAAACCTTACGGAACAAGATCCCACAATGACTAGTGAAAACAGGCTGCCTAAGTATGGTTCCCAATCAGAGACAACGAGCTACAGCTGCCTCTGATTGGGAACCACCCTGGCCAACATAGATCTAAACGATCTAGACTGAAAACATGGAACAACTAAACATAGGAAAATCCACACCCTGGCTCAACATTTAAGAGTCCCCAGAGCCAGGGCATGACAGTATGGGTCCTAAGATATGTTATATGTCTCAATTCTTGATATTGTCATTTTCATAATTGTCATTCTGCTGTTTAGAGGCCCTTAACAAACTGAGGAGCATTACCGTCAACTCTAAGACAACATGGTTGAACAATGGTTGAATTCCTTTTCATGCCTCCCAAGGCCTTACTGTGGTAGAGCCATAGAAATATACATTTTATTTATATGGGTAGAGTACTTCTGAGCCAATAGGATGTTACAGTAGCAGTACAATGGATTGTTTAAGATGTGTTTTTTCTTATGCCCTCATAACAGCTGATAGGCCTCTGCCTAACCACTCCCTGGTAATAAATTAATGCACAATGGTAATACATAAATAGAATAAATATAAATATATTTCCTTTACATTTTTTTCACATTTTAGTCATTTAGCAGACGCTCTTATCCAGAGCGACTTACAGTTAGTGAATGCATACATTTTCATACTGGCCCCCCGTGGGAAACAAACCCACAACCCTGGCGTTGCAAGCGCCATGCTCTACCAACTGAGCTACAGGGGACTATGTGTGTGCCTTTAAAGGGGCAATCTGGAGTTGCTACATCCATTTTTTGACTTTTGAATTAATGATATGTACCCATTGATGCTTGAAGAATATAACTTGTAAATGCCTCATGAGCTTCAACTATCGTACCATCAGAACCCCAAAAATAAGCTTGTTTTACTCCAATGTTTGTAAACAAAGTAAATGTAAACAAACACTATATAGCCTCAAAACATGGTTAGAACTAGAATTTTTACATCGTGGATGGTCAGTCCTTGCATCCATAGCTATGTTATGAATTTGAGAGTGGTTACATTTCTCCAGCCCCATCCCTCAGCTTTTTGCCAGAACAGGGGTGGGGAAAATGCTTTATTGTTTTGATTGCTGATGGACACTTTAAGATAAGACGATGACCAGAACTAAAAACCTCAACCAGTACTGTATTTCTATGCTGGTGGTACAGTATGATCACAAATGGATTTGTTGATTTTTTACAAATCAACAAGAATACAGCAGGAAAGCGTCTATTAAAAACACAAGACTGTTGACTTCATTCATATTCATATTTCAGTGGATGCTCTTCTGCTACGGTATGTCTGGCATTATAAAAATAACCAATGGCAGTTTTAGAATTGTTGACGTTCTCTGTAGCCAGCAAATAGGCCTAGCATGCACTCTCTGGGGTTTCTGTTTTCTCTGTTGTGGTTTAAATCAATATCTGACTGTGATCATTTTTAGACGAGCTAAACATGACTGTGGATTTCCTTGTTGCTATTCACCACAGTTATCTGTTTTCAGTGTATTTATTGAATTGTAGCCAAGGGTTTCCTTGCCTATGGCTCAAGTCTTTTGTTTTAATTTTGTGGTATTGAACAAGCAGTGCTTTAAAATCCTATCTAATGGAAAATACCTTAGAGGCAAAGGAAATGGTTCTAATCGATGAGGCCCTTAAAGTGACTCTCTTGCACGTTTGGCTCCCCCTAGTGGAGTTACAATGGAGTTACAATACATAAAAACTCCTGTCTGATTTTGCTGCTCAAAATGTTTATTGCAGACAGACTGATTTGATACTTAACTGCAGATATTGTTGAAGTTATGGTTGCCTTCCAAATGGCACCCTATTCCCTTTAAAGTACACTAATTGTGACCAGGACCCATAGGGCTCTGGTCAAAATGATTGCACTATATAGGGAATAGGATGCCATTGGGAACACAACTCATGTTGCTACTGGGCTTCAACCAATACATTTGCATGCAGAGGCACATCCTGTGCAGACAAACACGCCTATGTTCCAACCAGTCCCTGCAAAGAGAGACATGCATTAAAATGGAATTGAAATAGAAAAGAAAACGTAATAGATAGGTGTTCAAAATGAGAACGATTTAAGCCTTACTTCGGGACTCATCCTCATGGACCCATGTCTCCTGGTGGCGTCAATCATGTTTTTCTTAGCACTGATTGGAAAGAAGAGGAGACTTACCACCATGTGGGTTATATCTGTGCAGTGAGTGAATGGCCCTGTTCGAATACCTCTAAAATACTTTCTTTCTTTACTCCCTTCCTTGAGGTAATCACTGATCAGTACAAGAGTGGATAGGTGAAAACATGTGTTCCCCATTGCTTTAATCAATGTGTCAGATCAGTGATTTCCTCATGGAAAGAAGGAAGAATACATTTTAAGGGTATTTGAATAGGTCCATTGACTGTCCTGTGTGTGACACCCTCTAGGGTTTATATTACCTGTGGCGTTGGAAGCCATAGTAGATCCCCAGAAAAACCACCACCAAAACCACAGCAAGGGTTACACACACGATGAGCAGCACTGGCATGTCTGAGTCAGGAGGGCTGGGTGGAGCCACTGTGTGATAAAGGGGAGACACATACACACCATTGTGGAATTTAATCACAACAAAAATGCAGATTTTGCACATACACTCCTGTTACCTTGTTGTTTCGTACGCTAATGTATTGCTCTAATGGGAAACATAAACAATTAAAATTTGCTGCAGCAAACACAGTAAATCATGGAAGGAGAGTAAAACAACCACATTAAATGTACATGCAAATTATATACAGTAGGCAATGTAGTCTTCCTACGTGACATATTCCCATCATTTGGGAATAACAGACAGTCATTTAGCTTTGGAGGATAACTATGATATGTTTTCTACCATTACTCAACAGTACAAAGTCCTTCTACCTTAGCAGTTGTGGAGCAGGGCTGTATTTGACATACTCACAAGTGGGAGCTGTGCTGAGGGACTGATAGAGCAGCAAGCCAGAAACTCCTAATTCCGCCATATCAAGCTGAGGAAACAGACATACATTTCACTAATGTGGAAAATCAACAACTCCCTAAGGGAATCCGCATACTCAGCAAAAAATAACAGTATATTATTAAATTCAACATTTCTTACTCACCGAGTGTCAGCACATACAAAACAGGATTCAAAAGTTCAACACAGCCACTCATTTCTCTGAAGGACTTTCTCCTATTCTTAGTCCTGAATGAAGAGGTCAACATATCTTCCTTATTGCTATTGCTCCAAGATATGGCTTGAGATTCAGTAGGCTTATTCACTCTATCAACCATGACTCTTCCAATAAATTCTGCCATCGAATCATGTGCCCAAATTTACTGCAGGAATGCTGTAAAATGTTTTACAGTAAGGAAAATAGTACTGTAAAATATATTACAGCATCTCTGCTGTAAAGCAAAATTACAGTTTTCATCTGGCAACTCTGGTGTCAGTATAATGCTGTAAATTAAGAAGACATTTTTACAGTGCAGATTCTTCAACTTAAAAACTGTTTAATAAATACAATATTCTGGGAATATTTGTAACAGCTGAAGATGATCAGAATGGCTGGAGGCCAAGATTATTTCAAAGTCAGTTAAGATTATACCAGTAGGTAGGCAACATTATATCAAAATGAATGTCATATAATGTAAATAATCTCCTCCCAATGATAGACATTCACAAGACACCACGTGGGGCAATCTAAATACTTTATTATCATCAATAAAACATATGGTCCTGAATTTTTTTTAATGTTCAATCGAGACCCCTTATTTACACTCTATTCTGTATTCACATGAAACATACATTTTAGTATAAAACAGCCTCCCTGAGTCACAAAGAAACATATCAATGGCAGTCCAACATATTTACCACGTAACAGAAAAATAAAAATATTAAATACACATTTTGTTCCAAAGAAAACTAAGATTCCTTCCAAAAGAGATAACTTTTAATGTGCCAATCCCCCACACAAAAGAGCATCGTAGTCCCCGAGCAAATTGTTTTGCTTTGCTTAGTCAGGGGAAACGTGGCAGCTCAGCAGCTTCTCTGTGCTGACCTCTTCCACGCATGGGCGTTATTATTTTCCGAGTCATTTAAGTCGCATAAAAGCTCTTAATTAATAAGCGGCCCATCCATTTGTGGGGTCTCCTTCATAGTTAGTTGAGCATTGCTTCCGAAGTCGAGGCGCCGAGTCGAATCCCGTTAATTGAGCGGTGTCAAGAGAAGCATCTGTAAACAGAAAGGCACCACATAAATACTTCCATGGAAATATTAAATAAAGCAAGTCACAGAGGGGTTTTTTCCTTCAGAATTCTCACACAGTAGTTCCCAGGGGCCAAGTCCATTCAATCAACTGGAATCCGTCCAGCAAGGGCTCTCTTTATCTTTCCTTTTTACTGTTCATTCTAGTCACAAAGAGCAACACACAAAGACATTCATGCAAACATCTCAAGTCCTCATTGTTGTGGTAGTGTCTCATTCTCTCTCTGAACACGCTGAATGGGAGAGGCCACGTACACACGGCCTGAAGTGTCTCGCCTCAATAAGGCCCTTTTCTCATTCCCACTATTTGGGTATGTGGTGCTTCAGAAATAATCTGTGTGAGTTTTCCAGTGAGTCATTGTTGGTACTTTTGAAAATCAACAGATAACACACACTTGACAGGCAGGGGGAGTCGACTGCGGGAAGTGTGTGTGATAGTGTGTGTGTGTGTGTGTGTGTGTGTGTGTGCACGTGCGCATGTGTGTGTTTTTGCTTGGTCTCCATTGCTTTAGAGTGGGGCTCCCATAGTCATCCATGCTTGGTATTTCTCCTCTTGTCAGTTGCTGGTGTGTGTGTGTCCATTGGCATCTCTCAGTGTCTAGGCCTCCCTTGGTGGGTCTGCTGTTGAAGAGGAAGAATAAGCCCTTAATTATATACAAGTCATGTTCAACATAGCCACTGACACAATTCTGACACTGAAACACTGGTACAGTATAGACAGACAAACACCCAGCCAAACTACCCTGGCTGTATCCCTGCCAAATACTCTTGTCATTACTCCAGCAGAAAGATACTTGTCACTCAATAAAAAGTGCAGCCTCCACTATAAAAGCTGCTTGGCAAGTTTCCCTGTGACTAGGGTTGCAATGGGGAGGGTATATTACTGGAAACTTTAGAAGTTTCAAAGATTGTATGTAATTTATCACAAGACATCTAGTGGCTCTTTTGGGTACTTCACATTTTCAAAGGTGTCTGTAATTATCTCTGGCCCTCTGCATGGCCTTATCACATGTAAAATACACAAAATATTACAAAATATTTTAAAGTACAAAATAAATGACAAAGCTGTAAAACATTATCTTAAACATAAACCATCAACTTAGTGAATACCATTGGTGTTTAATATTAGGGTTTCAGCATTAGATATCCTTTATATATTTATTTTACCATGTCAATATGCCTTTGTTGTTAATGTTTTGGCACCAAACTGGTGAAAAAAGTCAATAGTTGGAAGACTTGCAGAGTTAATTGAAAAAAAGCCTTTTTTGATTAGATGTTTTTCATAATTAGGCTTTTACATTTACATTTTTCTTTTTGCATTTTGCAGACGCCTTATCCAACGACTTACAGTTAGTGAGGCATACTTTTTATTTTTTTTTCACTACCTTTTATTTCTTTCTTAGCTACGGGTATACATAAACCCCCGGGTATTACATCTTTATGCAGCAGGCCCAAAAATCATTTTGGACTCACCTTTTGTGCTGTGCCTACTTGAACAGGAAATTTAGACTAAAGAGACTTTTAGAAAAAAGACTAATTTCTCTTTAAACCCTTGGCTATCCCCTAAAAACTCATGGACATATTTTACACAGATATAAAAAGTTAATACTAATATAAAAATTTGTTCAAGTTATTTAAGTCAAATTACTAAAGTTTCCATAATTTTTTTTTTAAATTACCAAAATTTCAGAAAATTTCAGTAAATGGGTAAAATTTCCTATTTCAGCATGAGCTTCCTTATCAAGTTCTCCACATGAACAGTGAAGCTCAGCTTGTCATCCACCCACACTCCCAAATATTTGTACACTTTGACTTGCTCTATGCCGGGAGGTGAGTTTGGATTGGTCTGCCACGTAGCATGCTTCTGTCTATAACGTGAGCTGTTCAGTATGTGTTGATAGTCCTTTCTACCACACCGCTACCGACAGATCAGTTGGGAAAAGTGATTGGCTACCTTCTGCACACGCCACGGTCAGTGTGAACCAGAGTGACTTGACAAAACGCTTGCTAAACAAGATGCATCTACAAACAAAACAGAGTTAAATGGTTCCAGTCTGCCGTGAAGCGTTCATCCATGTATACGGGTAAGAGTCTAGCTACATTTTCAGATATAAGTTTCAAATTTTGTCAGGAAGTCGGTTTTATTGCAAGTTAAAGCGCACTGTTAGTTAGCAAACGTTAGCTTGCTAGCTAACATTACGTGTATGATCTGTGTAGTAATATTATTCAAATCAGAAATCTATTTGCATTGCTAGTTATATCCTAATGTTAGCTAGCTATCATTGAACCTAGTATGTTAGCTTTAGCTACCTGCAGATTCATACTACAGCTATGACAATGTTTGTATTGCTAGTAGTATGAGATGGGATTATGTCGGTTCATTGTTTAGCTAGCTAGTTACCTAGCTAGCTACATGTCTAAACAAAAGACTCCACTTTGGCCCGATTATTACATGACCCATCAAATTAGCCAGGTGTGTCTGGGGGTGATTACGGCCATCTATTGTATTTCATGTCTAGACAATAGTGACCCATCCATTTAGCTAGATGTGGCTGAGGGGTGGTTATAGCATTTTCTTCACATGACCCATCAATTTAGACAACTGTGTCGGATAAGCGTCATCTAATAATTATAAAATATTTATAAAATATTTTATCTGGACATTTTCTGATTTTGATATTGCAAGTAACCACTTCACTGTACCGTTTACACCGTCTGTATCCTGTGTATTTGACAAATAAACATAGATTTTATTTGATATAGCGTGTGTTTACCACATGTGAATCCTTAAAGAGATGGGTGGGGCTTAGGCTTAAGAGGGTGGGGTTACAAGTTTATCAACTTTCAAAGCAGAATTACTTTCCCATTGTTCCTCAACTGCAGTGTACGATATACAATTTTTCTAGCTCTGAGTCTATTTTTATCCAATGTAAAAAACACAATTTCAAACTTTGCTACATAAGACCGAATAGAGGCGGTCGGTCACATATGTTTACATGAGCATAGTATACACAGGTCAATGTAAATGCTTACAAAGAGTTCATAAGATATTACTATGACATACTTGCATTACTTCCATGGCTAAACAGGGGACTTCCTAGACAGACAGACAGACAGACAGACAGACAGACAGACAGACAGACAGACAGACCACACACACACTCTCACTCACCTCTCCTAGGGCACACCAGGAGTACGATGGCTTTGATGATTAAGATCAGAGCGACCACACAGCCAATCACAATGCCCGCCACTGCCCCTGCACTGAGGCATGTGCCTGAGACAGAGGGAAGGGGGAGGGATGAGGGGGAGGGAGACAGAAAGAGTGATGAGCAGGTGGATAATGAATAATGATAATGAGTCTAAGACACGAAGCCCAGACAGACAAATGGAAAAGAAAGAATGAGCTTTCTGAAAGAGTATGATGAAGTGATGGCAGGGGAAGAGAGGTGAGAGAGAACGAGTGGTGGAAATGAAGGGAAGATCAGTGAAGACAGCTGAAAGTCATAGAAAATGAGTTAGATTCTCATTGCGAGAGCATTTGGATTGATCAATCTTTCGCTGATTGTCTAGGCTGTGCCAAAATGTTCCCCTCTCTCCACTCAAAGATGGATGCCGCTGCGCCGTCCAAAACTAACATGTCACCAGAATGAGTCACGGCAGTGGCCAAGGCCAGTGTTCATCCCGCATAACTCACCCACGATTGCCAGGTCCGTCCCCTGCGCCGACGTCGTGCCCGTGATGGCGTTGCTAGCCACGCACTTGTATTGGCCGCTCTGGTTGGTGGAGAAGGTCTGGAGGCTGAACACCCCACTGTCCGGTTGGCCAGACGCCACGGGTTCATTGTTGTATTGCCAGGAGAAGGTGGCGGGGAGCAGAGGGTCGGACACTTAGATGAGTCGGATTGTCTGGCCTACCACTGCGTCTGCCCTATTTAGCCTTGCTCAGCACGGGGGTGTCGGGACCATCTGGAGGCGGAGGGGGGGAAGGAACATCAACAGACAGACTCACAGACAAACCCTGTGGCTCACAGACTGTCACAGTAAAGTTTCACCTCAAAATGCATGGGATCAATGTTACTGGGGTTGGGTATGCTAATGCGAATTAGCCCTGTAGCCTATATAGTGATGCGCTTCTGTGGCTAACTGGCAGTTACATTACTTGGTGTAATGCTAGCTAGTATAACAACTAGCTCATAGTATTAGCATTAGCATTTTAGCTGCTGGGTCGTGTGCATTAGGCACCAAACAAAAGAAAACAGACTAAAACAAGGAAGACTACCCTGACTTCTCAAATAAGACACACCATCTTTTTTTTGTGTTTGTGTCTTAATTAACACAACCCTGGACACTAGATAGTGACTCACAGTCAGAGCCGGACCACCACATCTGGGGCCACAGTTTTCCCTGAGATTCTACACATTTTGCCATGGGGCATAGTGAAAATTGTGCAGTCTTATAGCTAACCTCATGCTATTCTACACGTTTTTTCCCCCCCTATTTTACCAGGTAAGTTGACCGGGGGTTAACAACCCTACTCTTACGTTAAGTGCCATGGGACTCCTGAGTGGCGCAGTGGTCTAAGGCACTGCATCGCAGTGCAAACTGTGCTACTAGAGATCCTGGTTCGAATCCAGGCTCTGTCGCAGCCGGCCGCGACCGGGAGACCCATGGGGCGGCGCACAATTGGCCCAGCGTCGTCCAGGGTAGGGGAGGGAATGGCCGGCAGGGATGTAGCTCAGTTGATAGAGCATGGCGTTTGCAACGCCAGGGTTGTGGGTTCGTTTTCCCACGGGGGGCCAGTATAAAAAATTAAATAAAAATGTGTTCACTAACTGTAAGTCGCTCTGGATAAGAGCGCTTTAGTGACCACAGAGAGTCAGGACACCCGTTTAACATCCCATCAAGAAAGGCGGCACCCTACACAGGGCAATGTCCCCAATCACTGCCCTGGGGCATTGGGGTATTATTATACTGGAACAAAAATAAAAATGCAACATGTAAAGTGTTGGTCCCATGTTTCATTAGCTGAAACAAAAAAATCGCAGCATTTTTCCATAAGCACAAAAAACGTATTTCTCTAAATAAAATTGCACAGTAAAAGGCCACTCTAGAATGTGCAGTTTTGACACACAACAAAATTCCACAGATGTCTCAGGTTTTGAGGGAGCAAGTTTTGGCATGATGAATGTCCACCAGAGCTGTTGCCAGAGAATTTAATGTTCATTTCTCTATCATAAGCTGCCTCCAATGTCGTTTTAGAGAATTTGGCAGTACGTCCAACCGGCTTCACAACCGCAGACCACGTGTAACCACGCCAGCCCAGGACCTCCACATCCAGCTTCTTCACCTGTGGGATTGTCTGAGACCAGCCACCCAGACAGCTGATGAAACTGAGGAGTATTTCTGTCTGTAGTAAAGATATTTTGTGGGGAAAAACTCATTCTGATTGGCTGCGCCCCTGCCCAGTCATGTGAAATCCATAAATTTGGGCCTAATTTATTTATTTCATTTGACTGATTTCCTTATATGAAGTGTAACTCAGTAAAATTGTTGAAATTGTTTTGCGATTATATTTTTGTTCAGTATATATATTTTTTAGACCAGAGGAAAGAGTGCCTCCAACACCACTTCCAGCAGCATCTGGTCTCCCATCCAGGGACTGACCAGGACCAACCCTGCTTAGCTTCAGAGGCAAGCCAGTAGTGGGATGAGGTTTAGAGAAAATTTTGAAGTTACAGTATATAGCTAATCCCATGCTATTCCACACATTTTGCCATTATGAGGCTGAGAGAAAATGTTGCAGTTTTTAAGCGAATTTCCAGTTAATTACAATTCTACACATTTTGCCATGGCTTATCACGTGTTCATATGCTATCTAATTACCCCTGGATTACCCCTGCGTGCCAAGTCGGTAATCCGGCCCTGCTCACTGGTGAGACTGTGTGGGAGTCTAATTAGCTTATGTTATTAGCATTAGCATTAGCAGCTGGGCATGCAATGACTCACAGTAAACTGTGAGGGTCTTCGAGGCGGTCTGAGCGCTGACGAGGTTAGCGACGGTGCAGGTGTAGACCCCGGCGTCTTCCCTCGAGGCCGGGTTGATCACCAGGTCGCCCCCTTTGATAGTTACCCTGGAGTTCGAGGTGAGAGCAGAGCCCCCTTTACCCCACAGCACACTGGTCTCTGTCCCCTTGGTCCAGGTACAGCGCACAGACACATTGCCCCCCTCCAGAGCCACTGACGGCACAAACATAGTCACGCCATCCACTGCATCTAGGGTGGGGAGAGAAGAGAAGCAGGGAGATTATAGACTGGTCCTAGATCTGTTTGTGGTGTCTTGCCAACTCCTTTGGTCATTGACAACTCTTATGGTCATGACAACTTCTATGGTAATTGTCAACTCCTATGGTCATTATCATGCCACAAACAATTCTGGGACCAGGCTAGTGAGATGAATATAAATACTGGAGTAGTAGACTGATTGGGAGATACACACATGGAGAGCTTTTGAATGAGCCATTATTGGGCTTTCATAGTGTGATCACAGACAGAGGGGGATTCAATTCAAGCGTTAAAATATGCTGAAAAATAGAGGGACGCTTAGTGTTTTCTGCCTAAACAAATTTTGTTTAATGAAAATAATGGAGGTTTGGGAGAAGAAACAACATCCAGACATGGAAGCAGATGGTAAATAAAGGGGCAGACGGCAAAAGCGGCTTTCACAACGGCAATGAGCGCTAGGACTGCTAAGTCAAATATGGGCCATATAGATAGAAGTGCTATCTGTAACTAAAAAGAACAGTAATAACAAACACTAACAGGTCTGGGCAATCAAGTGGCTATAATCACATTACACTTTCATGCTCGATTTTCCTCCACTGCTATTCACTTACTTCTGTAATCCTCCCTCCCATCCTCCATCTTTCTCTCCCTCACTCCATCACTTCCTCCCACCCTCCCTCATTTAATCAATCACTACATTCCTCCTTCCTTTCCTCCCTCCCAACGCACCCTAATCACCTCCAGCGCACCTGCACCTCATCTCATCACCACCCCTATTTAGCCCTGGACTGTTCCTTGTGATGTTGTGTGTGATTGTTTAGCTTCGTGTCATGTACTCTATCTCTGTTATTTCTCTTTGTCATTGTTTAAGTAAACCTTGATCTTGTTAATTCCTGCATCTGCGTCCTGCCTCTTCGTATACTCAGTCCTCGTCACAGAATCACACACCAAACGAAAATGGATGCAGCAGGAGTTTCCCAGTGCCTCGACCAGCACCAGCAGCAGCTTGCCCAGTTGAACGCCGCCATCGAGGAAGTGCTCCAAACTCTGCATAATCTGCCCAGCGCTCCGGTTCCACCTCAATCTGCCCAGCGCTCCGGTTCCGCTCCGGTTCCACCTGTTCCCGGGCTATCACCCACTTCAGCGGGAACCCTCGCCCTACCGGAGCGCTTTGACGGTAAAACTACTAAATGTAGCGGCCTCCTGCTACAGGTTTAACTTTATCTGGCGCGTCAGCCAGGGGCATGTCCATCTGACCAAGCCAGGATAGCGCTGGTGATTTCGCTACTTAAAGGGAAGGCGCTGGATTGGGCCACGGCAGTCTGGAAAGGAGAAGAGGCAGTGGCACTACCCTACCCCACCTTCCTCGCTCAGTTCAGGGCGGTGTTTGATCATCCCACGGAGGCAAAGGACGGGGTTGAGCGTCTCCTCCATCTACAACAGAGAGAGGGGCCCGCGTCTGAGTACGCTCTGAGCTTTCGCACGGTGGCGCCGTCTTCCGGCTGGAATGAGCATGCTCTGCACACGGCCTTCAGGAGAGGCTTATGGGAGGACATCAAGACGGAACTCGCATGTCGGGACGACGAGATGGACCTTGATACCCTCATCACCACGTCCATCTGTCTTGACGACATGTTGAGAGAGAGACGGCGTTCCCAACACCTCCCGGAGTCTCGACGCTCACCCCATCTGAGCTATGGAAGCCTCCCTGCTTCCGAGTCCTCACCCATGGAGGTGGGTAGCACCCACTACACCACCACGGACCACAGATCTCCTGGCGGCTCCCTATCTAGGCGGTATGACTCCCGTCGCCGCTCTGTGAGTGTTACGTCAGCTCCTATCACAAAACCATTGTTTTTAGTTCCCAGAACGGTGTCTGGTTATTCCTTCTCTTCCATTTCTACTGCTATGATAGATTCCGGATCAACGGGGAACCTTATAGATAGGGAGCTGGTCTCTGAATGGGGGTTGCCCACCGTGCCACTGCCATCTCCGCTACATGTCAACTCACTGGACAATAAACCTCTTGGATCAGGCACCATTACGCAAGTCAATCTCCCCATCACCATCACCATTCCCACACTACCGGAGCACCACGAGGAGCGGTCCTTCCACATCGTCACGTCACCCCTTCACCGGATCGTCTTGGGATTGCCCTGGCTCAGACTACACAATCCCACCATCAATTGGAGCACCAAGAGTATCACAGCCTGGTCGACCTCATGCCGGAAGACCTGCCTGCCGGTGGTTTGTTGTTCCACGTCAGTGTAGAGTCCGGAGTCCGCCCTCCAACCATTCCATGTGAGTACGCAGATCTCTCCGATGTCTTCTCTTCAGTAAAGGCTATGTGTCTCCCTCCTCACAGGCCCTGGGACTTGAATTATTTATGGTTGTGAAATAAGTTGTAATGGGTGTAAAAAACCTTGTAGGCCTAATATTGACCCTAGTAGTGGTATTGTTGATGACTTCAGTAGTAGTAGTTTCCTATGTGAAGGACCTTCCATCACCACCATCCTCATCTTCTTCCCCATCACCGGATGTGATGAGGTGATGTTGAAGGAGTCAGGTGCAGGAGGGTAAATCACAGAACAACAGGCTTTATTCCTCAAATACAGAAATATGCAGTAATGCGTCAAAAACACTCTAGTGCGCAAAACAGGCGTATACAAAATACAAGGCACACAGGAAAATATTTTGGCGATACAAAATACACGAAGCTCCACCGAGCTTCACTATCCTCCACAATAAACAATCACACACAAAGACAAGGGGGCAGAGGGAACACTTATACAGGTACTGATGAGGGGATATGAACCAGGTGTGTGTAATAAACAAGACAAAACAAATGGAATGATGAGATGAGGAGCGGCAGTGGCTAGAAGGCCGGTGACGACGACCACCGAAGCCTGCCCGAACAAGGAGAGGAGGCAGCTTCGAGGGAAGTCGTGACACCAGAGGATAGAGCATTCCTGCATTCATTACTCGATAATATCAATATATCTAACTAAAATATATCTCAGGAGGGAAAATGTTAAAGTACAATATTGTTTTATAGTTAAAAACTGGGTTGAACAGAGATCACTATTGACATGTATGCATGTTTCACCTGTCTTGTGATTGCCTCCAACCCCCACCAGGTGGCTCCCATTACCTCATGTGTATTTATACCTACGTTTTCTGTTTGTCTGTTGCCAGTTCGTCTTGTCCCGTCAAGTCCTACCAGCGTGTTCCCGTGTTTCCTGTGCTTTAGTTTTGGCTTTTTCTAGTCTTCCCAGTTCTGACCTTTCTGCCTGTCCTGACCCTGATCCTGCCTGCCGTCCTGTCCCTGCCTGACTCTGATTTGGATTACAACTCTTTGCCTGCCTTGACCTACCGATTGCCTGCCCCTTGTACATGAATAAACTCTGAGACTCTTACTATCCGCCTCCTGTGTCTGTATCTGGGACTTAGCCTGATGTCGGACCGAATTCAACAGACCCTGGCCAACCTTAGTGGGCTTAGCTCAACATGGCTAGACGTCCCAGAGGCTAATGCCCAGATAGCTGCTCAGCTAGTGGCAGTAGTCACTGCCCAGCTCACTGGACACTACATGATCAAAAGAATGTGGACACTCGCTCGTCGAACATCTCATTCCAAAAACATGGGCATTAATATGGAGGTGGTCCCCCCTTTGCTGCTATAACAGCCTCCACTATTCTGGGAAGGCTTTCCACTATATGTTGGAACATTGCTGCGGGGACTTGCTTCCATCCAGCCACAAGAGCATTAGTGAGGTTGGGCACTGATGCTTGGCAATTAGGCTCGCAGTTGGCGTTCCAATTCATCCCAAAGTGTTCAATGGGGTTGAGGTCAGGGCTCTGTGCAGGCCAGTCAAGTTCTTCAACACCGATTTCGACAAACCATTTCTGTATGGACCTCGCTTTGTGCACGGGGGCATTGTCGTGCTGAAACAGGAAAGGGCCATACCCAAACTGTTGCCACAAAGTTGGAATACAGAATCGTCTAGAATGTAATTGTATGCTGTTGCATTAAGGTTTCCCTTCACTGGAACTAAGGGACCTAGTCAGAAACATGAAAAACAGCCCTAGACCATTATTCCTCCTCCACCAAACTTACAGTTGGGAACTATGCATTCGGGCAGGTAGCGTTCTCCTGACATCCGCCAAACCCAGATTCGTCGGTCGGACTGTCAGATGGTGAAGCTGTCAGAGAACGCATTTCTACTGCTCCAGAGTCCAATGGTGGCGAGCTTTACACCACTCCAGCCGACGCTTGGCATTGCGCATGGTGATCTTAGGCTTGTATGCGGCTGCGGCCATGGAAACTCATCTCATGAAGCTCCCGACAAACAGTTCTAATGCTGACGTTGCTTCTAGAGTCAGTTTGGAACTTTGTAGTAAGTGTTGTAACCGAGGACAGACGATTTTTACGCACTACACGCTTCAGCACTCGGCGGTCCCATTCTGTGAGCTTCTGTGGCCTATTACTTCGCGGCTGAGCCGCTGTTGCTCTTAGACGTTTCCACTTCACATTAACAGCCCTTACAGTTGACCGGGTCAGCTCTACCAGGGCAGAAATTTGACGAACTGACTTGTTGGAAAGGCGGCATCCTATGACTGTGCCACATTGAAAGTCACTGAGAACTTCAGTAAGGCTATTCTACTGCCAGTGTTCATCTATGGAGATTGGTAAATATTTGGTGAATAAGACAAGTTGACAAACATGCTTCACAACAGGAATCAATGGAGGTCTTGACCATGGCCATTTGTGCCATTAGTGAGGTCCTTGTCCAATCCTCAACAAGCCTTACTCGCCACCACGATCAGTGCCCCATGACACTCCAAACTCGAAATGTTGTCAGTTTCCCATACTTGACAGCAGAAGTGTCAGAAATGGTTGAGACTGTAGAGAAAGACTTGGATTTGGACTTAGAGATGCCTTTTCCAATTTGAGAAGCCCCAGCCACGCCTGACGAGCTTCAGGATGACTTAAACCATGCTGACATTGCCATGGTTTCTTTGAATGATGTACTTCTATTCAGAGAGAATGAGAAACGTTCAGAGACCCAGTTAAGGGCATTGGCCCTTTGTGAGAAACTCTGCAGTTCTCAATCCCTGTCTGCCAATACAGAGGAAGCATACCAACTCCACTTACACACAAGCCCTAAGAAGGTCATTAGCACTCTGGCCTTCTCATTCCTAACAGAGAATGCAACAGAGTCTACTCCACATGGATGATTAATCTTCCTCTGGTACACCTTCTTTGTACTCTGTGAGATTGGAGATGGACTCTGACTATATCACTATTAGTGATAGAACTGGGTCCTCTTGGAGTCTCCCTAATATGTCTCATCACTGTAAGTTTCAGGCTGTCAGTGCAGTAAGCGAGATGTTCATTAGTTAATCTACAGAGTCTGATTTCTTTATTAGCGACCAGAGTGAATAGTCTGTCTGCTGCACCATCTGCACTGTCCATTCAATATGGGGAGGAGTCAGCCTTCAGCATTATTAGAATGTTTCTCCAATACCTGCAAAGGCTTAAGAACTATGTTCCCACACCTGTCAGTGCTGAGCAGAGTGAGGCTGTGATCTCAGAGACCCGGCTCATTCCTTCCAAAACTCATTGTGTTTTGACACTCAGACCGGGCCCGAGTTCCCCAAGGGTTTGTTCTGCTCTGTTGCTGCTACCTTTTATAACAATGTGAGGGTCAAGGTTGACATGTTCATCTGTCCCGGTGACACTCTTGATCTCAGACAAAGTCAGGGATTCAGATAATTCCCTGCTCACAAACAGTGGTTTGGGTTCAATGCTCCACAGCGTTGGAACGGTGCTCAACAATAATGCCTCTGTTGAGAAATACATCAGAGCACCACTGAACAACTCCCCTGTATTACGTCTGAATGAGACAAGATGTGTGTCTGATCACACAGTGGGCTCAGAGTGTTGAAGACCTCTTCCACCATGCCAATAATCCCATTCGACCAGCCAGCATTTCCCATTACTAACTTCTCTTCTGATGTTACCCTGAAGGCCATTGCCACTTCTCAAAGTGGAGGTAGTAGCCTCACGGTTAAGCCAGAGAAAGCTAGTGTTGGACTAGCTGGTGTTGACAGCACAATGAGTAGAAAGAGCCAGGACAAGGAGCTGAAAGCTATCCAGAGCACATCCTCATCTGCGAGCATCACTGATTTTCCCACATTTAAGGGAACCCCCTCCCTCACAGATAGAACCCTTCGGGTCATTAAAGCACTGTAGGAAAGAGCTAGAAGTGGCACAACCAGCCCTGTCTCCCAGTCAGAGGTGTTATATAAGGCCACCATGGCAGTATCCAACCTCATGGCAAATATGTTGGCTAAATGGGAGGATGCAACTTCAGCTGAGAGAAATCTTCAGGCCTTTCTCTCCACAGGCATCCTCCGACCATTCACACACCTGGTGGAGCAGATCTGAAGCTTTCTTCTGCAGAACAGCACCCCAGTGTCTTCTGTGGCCTGCAGATCTAAATCTGAAACTGCTCTCCCGAGCAGAAGGCAGACCGGTGAGCTCCAGAGGGAGCCGTCAACAGAGGGATACTGGGGGATAGTCTATGCCTTCACAGAGCAGTCTCTTCTAGAGCACTTGCTCAAAGATCTCCTTCCTCCACTAGGAGATACTGATGTGGCCTTCTGCTCTCCCTCTGTCAGAGCCATTGTGAGTCTGACACCCGCTTCTTCTTCACATATCGGTCAGCTCAGGGTGTTCTAAGCCAGTGTCCAAGATCTGCCAAGGAGAAGTCAATCTCTTGATGGCAAAAAATGTGGCAGAAACTCTGTCTCAGACTTCTGGGCTCCTGATTCCTGATGCGAGGAGTTCATTTCACTAACCCAGTTCTTGAGCTCAAAAAGATTCCCCAGGAGAAGAAACCTGATCCCAACCAGAGCGAGCGGTCCAGTGGTTCCAGGGTTGAGGCCGTTGCCGATCCCAGCCTCCCCAAAGCCAAACCAGGGACAACAGAGAAGAGCAAGAAGATGTCCTTTCTTCAAAGGCTTCGGAAGATCAGCATCAAGAAAAGGGTAGAGTATATTGTCTTTAGGAAATGGCGTACATTTCCTTTCATTATCTGGAATTAGTTCACATCGTGTGCATGTAATGCATATGGGTAATTATTTGTATTTGTATTTAATTTTTTATTGATGATGTTACAATTAATTAAGTCAAGAGAAAAAGTTAATTCCAGAAAATAGCAGAATAAATTGTCAGGTTATATTACAGTGCCTTTGTAAAGTATTCAGAACCCTTTACTTTTTCCACATTTTGTTACGTTACAGCCTTAATCTAAAATGGACAAAAAATATAATCCTAAACAATGTACACACAATTCCCCATAATGACAAGGCAAAAACTGTTTTTTAGAAATTTTTGCAAATGTATTTAACATAACAACTCGAAATTGAGCTCAGGTGCATCCTGTTTCCATTGATCATCCTTGAGATGTTTCTACAACTTGATTGGAGTCCACCTGTGGTTAATTCAATTGATTGGACATGATTTGGAAAGGCATATGCCAGTGCATGCCAGAGCAAAAACCAAGCCATGATGTCGAAGGAATTGTCTGTAGAGCTCCGAGACAGGATTGTGTTGAGGCACAGATCTGGGGAAGGGTACCAACAAATTTGTAAGTGGATCCATATTAGTCCATCCGTGTTGAGACGGACTCCCCATGCGCCTGCTGCTGCTGCTGTGGACTATACCAGTGAGTAACAGTCTTGACCTCTCACTCTGGCAATATTCTCTACATACACTTACAATAGGGACCTTATTCAAAATGACTTACCAACCTGTGGTGGTGGTGATGTTTAGTGAAATTAATACGGAAAATAACACATAGTGGTAGTGTTTAATATTTGCTGATATATTGAGGCAACTACCACATTAATCTGATCATCTGTGCAGGTGCAATACGTACAGTATTTGCTCAACTGCAACTGTTTTGTCCACTCAGTGTGTATGTGTGATTATTTTTTTTGGTGGGGTTGTATTTTGTTACCAAACCTTTCCCTTTGGAATTGATTTAAATGGGAGAGTGTTGGGGTAAATAGTGTTGGGGTGAGAGTTACTGGCTATACTGGCTGGGGGTCACGACGTGCGAGCAGCTCGGGCTGGCTGAGTGGTCTGGCCGATCTATTGGTCACTCTGTATTTAAAACAAAGGATCTTTGTGGGGGCTGGGTGGCTCGGATGGCTCGGGCCGGTGTCACGTCTTGGACCCTATCATTATTTGTCAGTGTCATATGGATGCATTCGGATATGCGTGCACATGGAGGTGTGTGCGGGGGATGGACATGTGTCTAGGCGGGTGGATGTGTGTCTGCTTGTCCACGCACATGGACATGGGCTCAGTAGACCCGAGGGTAACATGGCTCCTTACTTAGGTATCTGAACATCTTTGTGGTATAGATCATTGTTTGAGTGGATCTCTATTCATTTGAAGGGATGCTGTTATGAATGTAACTTGGGTCTCTGTTCTATATCCAGCATTGATATTTATGAACTTCAATATCTTTCCTGCAAAAATAAAAATATTTTTAAGTACCCTATCGTCACACTTGAGTACAACTTAATAGAAAATGACTCAAGTAAAAGTGTCACCCAGTAAAATACCACTTGAGTAAAAGTCTAAAAGTATTTGGTTTTAAATATACTTAAGTATCAAAAGTAAATGTAATTGCTAAAATGTGAAATTCCTTATATTAAGCAAACCAGATGGCACCATTATTTTATTTGTAAAACATTTCATGTATAGAGAAGCATGTGTGTTTAGTGAGTCTGCCAGATCAGAGGCAGTAGGGATGACCTCTTGATAAGTGTGTGAATTTGACAATTTTCCTGTCCTGCTAAGCATTAAAAATGTAACAAGTACTTTTGGGTGTCAGGGAAAATGTATGGAGTAAGAAATACATTATTTTCCTTAGGCATGTAGTGAAGTAAAAAGTAAACCTTGTCAAAAATATTAATAGTCAAATAAAGTACAGATACCCTAAAAAATGACTTAAGTAGTACTTTACATTAATTTTACTTAAGAACTTTACAACACTGTCTATTAATGTAGCAATGACAATTGAAAACAGCGATAGTCTTAAATACTGTTTCATCCGATGTAGGGTTCTAACAGAAGTCTAGAATGTGGAATTGTTTCCTTTTTGAAGGGCATTTGTGTGCCTGGCACAGTATCCGTAGAAGGATGAATTAAAACGTATGACTATTCAGTCAGGAGTACAAGAGATACTGTAGGAGTCACTCCCTCATCACCAGGCTAATTTTAATTCCTGCCATACTGGATTGTGGAAAGGGAAGAAGAAAAACTGGTTCAACACTTACATACAGTAGCTATTTTACGTGCCAGTATGCATTGAGTTTGATGTCCTTCAATCAGGAAATATATATTTTGAAGTACCCTATTGAAATATGTGGTGTCGAGAAAACTATGCTGAGATGCTGTGAGAACAAGAATTCCGCTGACACTGTACTTTGATTATAAAGGTTTATTTATATCAAAGGGTTCCAGCGTCAATTTACAGATATCTGCCGATATCTGGAGAACAACGACCGAAATCTGTAATATGTTATTCTGTCCTCCTTTGTTTTAACCGTGGTATTTATATCCTATGCCCTATGTAACATAATATGGGTGTTTTCCCTACAGACCAATCCCAGGAGGCCACCTAACAGACTTCCTCGGCTTTAGGGTGCCCCTATAGAACTACTCCCCAGATGCTCCCTTTAAGCTGAGTCAACATCCTCTAAAACCATTTGAAACCATTAGCAAAGTCATAAATTCCTCAGATACCACATATTTCCCCCCTTCGAGACGAAGTAAGTCTCGAAAACAAAAAGAATAGGATTATGACAAATAACAATTTTTCTCTTATTGAGTATCTTTTAACAATAAATCAAATTTTATTGAGAGTAAACACCCTTTTCTATGTAGTGTAAATACATTTCTATGAAATATGAACAAATCTCTATGGAGTGTGAATACATTTCTATGAAATATGAACAAATCTTTATGGAGTGTGAGAGCAAAACACCTGTCTGGCAGCTTTCTTTCCAAATATCCCTCAATCAATCAAGACAGTAAAATTCTCTCATGGCCCCTCTGCCCCAGGCAACCACTTAAGTACTCCAGATCAATTCATACATCTTTATCAATGCATTTTAAACTATGATGCAATTTGAATACACATGAAAGCCTCAGCAAACAAAATGCAATCAAAAATGTCCACATTCAGGCTGGTCAACCCATCGGACCCTCCTGTGGATTCTCTCTATCCCTGCCTAGACCCAATATCCCTAAGCATCAACGAAATAAACAAAAACATCTGAGATCCCCACATGTACCCAATAACAGCAAATATCATTCTTCAAAAATTAATACAGAAAGAATATGACACAAATTATGTATTACACATGCAAATATGTCTATATATCATTGCAGACACTGGAATGATGAAGGTGTTGCAGACACCTTCCTTGTTCCACTTCCTCCAGTCCCTTCATATTGTCCCTTCATATTGTCCCTTCATATTGTCCATGTTTGAGTATTTGAATCCCCTCTACACATTCCCCCATATGCTTCTGGAAGAAAAGAAGAGACCAAACAGTATCTTTTGCAAAACAACACATTCAAATTAAAACATCAATATCAACTAAAAATATAAAATGAATCACATACCATTTCCCCCCTTTGATTCATCACCAAATACTAACTATCACCATAATATTTAAAACCATTTGAAAAATTCAAAATTGATATCTATCCATCAATACTCCTTTGAGTCTTGACAGAAGGTTAAACCCTCCTATCGTTTCATTTGCAAAACCCTTCAAATTATAGGTAATATTATCTATGTTATCTTCCCAAATTTTACACCATACCATGGAAAAAGTCCCCACTTCTCTCCTAGACTTATCCTCCAATGGTAGGCTTCCCAGACTATTAAACTTCTCTCTTTCAGAATCAGATTTATCTATGTCCCTTGCTTCCCCTCTTTTAATTTTAAAACCCTCATATGGAAGCTTCAACTTCAACATGTAACAACATCCTTTCCATCCATAGGGTAAGAATATATTCTCTCACCACAAACCCCAGATGTTTCTCTAAAATTCCCAATAGTCACATTACCATGCAAAACTTCTCTCTCCATCAAAGTCCTTCTCTTCTTACTAACTGGAACATCAAAAGTTACATTACATTTCTCATTACTAACCTTATGTTCATGCTTACCCAAAGTCATCATATAATCATCACCATCCGATATTCCCCTATACATCCCCTTTCCATCATATGTTTTATTTCAACAAAAACAGCTTTTAGCCCTCACTGGTTTCACCTCCAATGCTTCATGAAGCGCTGTTAACTGATTTTCCTTCCTATCTAACAAATTCACATAGGTTAATTCACTTAACCAATAACACTTAAACCTAGGCCTAAACAAATGTTTCCACAACTACATTATTTTATCTCTTAATGATTGTTGCTGATACAACAGCCCTTATAAAGCATAAGATTGACACGTACTTGATAGAGGTTTAGCTACCTTCTCTAAGATTCAACCCCATGTTCCTAGTGCTGGAATTCTCAACAGACATGGACCCTCAAGATTCCTCACTGATCTTACAGTATGAGTAAACTTCTTGAACCAAAGATTCCTACCTGCCCATCCATCTTTAATTTCCAAACAGAAGAATCAAATCCATATGCCTTCCATTTAGTTTCTCTCTTCCCTAACGAACAGTATTGATCAGATATATCTTCTTGTCTTCCATCAAAATCAAACTCATCCTGTACCTCCATGATAGTATTCTCCCTCTAACATTACTCAAAATAAGTTAGCAATCACTCATAACCCTCTTCCACTTCATATCGTTCTACAAAATATACTTCCTTTCACTAGATAAAACAGCTTCTACTTCTTATCCTCATAACAACACTTATTCTCCATAATTATCTCTCCACATGAGAGGAATCTCACCTCTACACATTCCTTCTCTCACATCTACAAGGAAGATGAGCTGTACCACCCATCCTAACCCTAATGACAGTCTTTTCCTCTAAAATTGGTGCTGGAGCAATTGGCTCCCTTGTAATCAAATGTGATACATTTATAGCTTTAATAACTGTCAATGTTGAAAGAGTTGAATTGCTTCTCACTGTTGTTTTAATATCCCCCTGCTGGGAATTGTACACATAAAGACTACAATCACCCTAAATCTTCTCTTATCATTCAGCAACGCATACTTTCTCAATGCATCTGCTCCTTACAGATCTAAACTCCTACCATATCTATCTTCCCACTGAACTCTAAATTTCCCTTCACCACTGTTCTCTCTCTCTTACTAACTAACATTGAAGCTGAGCTGACTGTCCTAGAGTTCCTTCAATTCTAGTTTTCTTAACTTTTTAGTCTGACTTTTTCCCCTAATTTTTCAAAAACCATTTCACTGATTTATCCACAAATTCCTTTCCCACTAATTTTTTCAAAGACCATTTCACTGATTTATCCACAAATTCCTTTCCCACTAATTTTAGGATATTTGATCCGGAAGTCCCCACCTGCTTATGACTTCTTTACACAAAAACTTGGCAAACGATTGAGCATCTTTTAGCTTAGTTTGAAATCTTATTCCCCTCTTGGTGTAGGAATGTAACCAAGAATAACAGTCACCCCCTGTAAACATTATTTTTTCAGACAGATTGTCCTCCTTCCTATGATATAGTCAATCTATTCAAGCAAATATGGTTCCCAAAAACCCTACTCCTTTATAATCTTTCTCCTAATCTCCCCCCTTGCAACATTAGCTAACCCCTAGCTTCCTAAATCATCAGACCTAATAGGTCCAGAGGCGCTACTATCAACCCCTCATGGTTTCTCCCAAAACAACAATTGATTCCTACTCTAAGGATTTTTTTCTATTGTCTTTAAAACACCTGCTTTTGAAAGTCCTTCAATTTCTGGTTCAATCCCTTGGATTGCTTCATCTTTCAATGGATACTGATTCTTCCAAGGAGGTCTTCCTCCTCGTCGAAGTTCAACTTTCACCTCAATTGGGCTGATTTCACAAATCCAATATCAGTACTACTTTGATATCACAAACATTCTTGAACTTTTTGCAACATCTCCTCTTTAATAGATTCTCAATCCATCTTCACACTTCAAACAGATTAATGTGTCTTCCGTACAGCTTATGACTCTCCTTGTCCTTGAGCCAAAATCATTATTTTCAGAAATCGCTGATCTTCACTCCTCCAAATCCCCCAATTATCTTCCATCATTAACTATTGGTAAACCTTTTCCTTTGGCACTTCTACCAGACAGCCGTCTGGTGTACATCTTATTGTACAATTCAATTTCCACAATTCATCTCTTCCCAACAATGCAATAGGTATATGTTCTGATACCAGTATGGGTATTGTAATTTTCTCATTTTACATCACGTCATTTTTTTTAGCATACATTATTAATTTTTTCATACTGGCCCCCCGTGGGAATCGAACCCACAACCCTGGCATTGCAAACGCCATGCTCTACCAACTGAGCTACCTCCCTGCCGGCCATTCCCTCCCCTACCCTGGACGACGCTTGGCCAATTGTGCGCCGCCCCATTGGTCTCCCGGTTGCGGCCGGCTACAGCAGAGTCTGGATTCAAACCAGGATCTCTAGTGGCAGAGCTAGCACTGCGATGCAGTGCCTTAGACCACTGCGCCACACGGGAGGTCACTTTCATAGCAGAGCTCAATTGGTTCCTTAAGAGTAATCAACTGTTTTACTCCCTCAAATCCCTATCCTAATTAGTTGATTTTGACATAGTGAGATGTGTAACCTCTTCAGGCTGAACACAGATAAAAGCAGTTCCGCTATCCATCATCACTTCCCATGGTCCGTTGTTTATTTTCACTTCAATTGTTGGATCTTTTTTCCCTAACTGGTGCTACCAGCTGACACCCCCCTTTCGGATCTTCTAGGCACCCCTAGAATCCTTGCTCCTTGCCCCTATAAGGGTTCACCTGTCCTCCAGATGAACTTCACTTGCTCCTGTATCTTCCTCTGAAATTCCCTCTGTTTCCTTCTGGCCCATTACACTCACAGCAAAGTCACCAACCTGTCCACAATCATAACACACTTCTTAAGATTGCTGGAAGTATGGCTTAAATCTTCCTCCTCTTCCTAAGCCTTCTCGTCCTCTTCCTCTCCAATTCTTTCAGTCCAGAAACTATCTATGGATATGAAACAGCTTGTACCACTAGTTGTGGCTGGTACAATTGCATTTGACCTTGTTCAGTTGAAGCTGTGGCAGTGATTGTTGATTTGGTGCACACTGATTCTTCATAACCAAAGCTTTTCTTCTCCTTCTTATTCTCCCCCAGTTGTATTTGATTAAGTTTTCTGAGAGTTTCTTGGTCCTGTTCTTTCTAGTTGTTGACATATCGGTATTCTTCAAAGGCTTATATTCTAGGTTCTGTCCTCGAATGGTCACTGGCATCATCTTCTTACTGGTGCCCTCTTTCCTTTCCTCGATGTATTATTCTTCTCCAATTCTTGGGATCCTTTTCTCGGCAGTTTTTTCTTCTCTTCTTCATCTTCCGTATTTTCAGCTTCTTGAGTTGTTCTTTGCAGTTCTCTTACTACTTCTAAATTATTCGCTTTATCCAGGCATGATACGCATCGGTCTATATCTCTTTCCATTTCTTCTGTGCTAGTCATTGTAGGATAAAATCCTCCTGAACATAAAGCACCTTTAATCTCCAAATCTTCATTGCTTTCTCCATCTTCACTTTCCTCAGAGATCGAATCTCTAGTATCCTTCTTCTTCCTCCAACTTCCATCAGAGATCAAATCTCTAGTATCCTTCTTCTTTCCTCTCTTGCCAACTTCCTTCTGATCACAGAGTCATATCCACCATGATCTCTTCTCAATCACTCTGATCATCATCTTCAAGTTCCATCTTCCTGAACCTCACTCCACCCTTAGTTTCCAGATGTCTCATTTTCTTCTTACTTTTGGAGTTTTGGATTCATCTTTATGGTCGTTTCTGCTTTTCCTCTCTCTATTATTCAATCACTTTCATCATGTTGATGACGTCAGGGTTAAGAATCCCTTCCACTAGCCATGGTTGTTCAATGTCAGGCCAACGTTTATTCCCTTTTCCAGATAACCTTGCAATAACATTAACTAAAGGATTACTATTTTCTACTACATCAACAGGAGTAATTACTTTCATAGTTTTTTATGTCCTTTTTCCCCATTGTAACAACTCTTTTATATTCCTTTATTGTGAATTATTTCATTATTTTAGACTATGTAGCTTATAGTTCCCTCTTTTTTTTCTTTCTTCCCCTAATTAATTAATCAATTTATGTATTAATTTATTAATCCATTTACTTATTTATTCATTTTATTTTACCAAATTATTGATTAGTGGCAATCTTACCACATCCAATCAGGAAAGTAAATGAAAGTAGTCAACTTCAGAGCAACCCAAAAAATAAAGACCTCTAATCCAGCAACACTACAGCACTCACAAACCCCATTGCTTAATAAGCACCCAATTACCTTAGTTTTACAGAATAATGTCAGTACTCGATTTCCCCACTCAACTCTAATCAAACCCACTCATGCACAAAAACTCCAAAATGCAATTCTTAATTACATCAATTGATCAGTATGTTGCCAAGTCCTTGTCAAATTGTCATAACATCAAATATACTAGGCACCCAAAATATCCTCTATGGGAAGGTACGTTTTGTAAATAGAACAGTACTAGCCTTGATTTGACTTGATCCGTTGCAGCACACTCTGTCGCATGATGCACTCGTCAGCACTTCCTCTCTGTCTCCTCCTCCTTATCGTCTCTCATATCACAGAAGAACAAAGAAACAGACAATAATTTAGTAGTTTATGCACTCACTGAGTTATTTCAACCATTCAATATTCCTCTAGTCATACTCGCTCTAAGAAATAACTCAGGAATATTATAAATATCTCAACATTTTATTTATTTTATTTTTTATTTTTAATCCGTCAACATATCTCTCTCATTTATCAATTTAATAGATCTCAATCAAATAGTTTCATCATTAAGCAACAGCCTATTTCAATCAATTCAATCAATTTTATTTTATATAGCCCTTCTTACATCAGCTAATATCTCGAAGTGCTGTACAGAAACCCAGCCTAAAACCCCAAACAGCTAGTAATGCAGGTGTAGAAGCACGGTGGCTAGGAAAAACTCCCTAGAAAGGCAAAACCTAGGAAGAAACCTAGAGAGGAACCAGGCTATGAGGGGTGGCCAGTCCTCTTCTGGCTGTGCCGGGTGGAGATTATAACAGAACCATGCCAAGATGTTCAAAAATGTTCATAAGTGACAAGCATGGTCAAATAATAATCAGGAATAAATCTCAGTTGGCTTTTCATAGCCGATCATTAAGAGTTGAAAACAGCAGGTCTGGGACAGGTAGGGGTTCCATAACCGCAGGCAGAACAGTTGAAACTGGAATAGCAGCAAGGCCAGGCGGACTGGGGACAGCAAGGAGTCACCACGGCCGGTAGTCCCGGCGTATGGTCCTAGGGCTCAGGTCTCTCAGTTGGCTTTTCATAGCCGATCATTAAGAGTTGAAAACAGCAGGTCTGGGACAGGTAGGGGTTTCGTAGCCGCAGGCAGAACAGTTGAAACTGGAATTTAACAAACAGAACATTCCATTGTGTTCAAATCATTAAGAGTTGAAAACAGCAGGTCTGGGACAGGTAGGGGTTTCGTAGCCGCAGGCAGAACAGTTGAAACTGGAATTTAACAAACAGAACATTCCATTGTGTTCAAATCTCCTCCACTCCTCTGTCAGCTCTGTCTGTTCTGAGTCTGCGTCTCCCAGCAACTCAGTGCAGGCAGAGGAGTGGCACATTTGCTCTACGTAACTCTAAAGTCATAAAATCACACGCATGCGTAGTACATTCACCAGTGCGATTTCAGAGTGGAGGGAGCTCTCTCCCAGCTAGACAACAAAGTAAACAGTCCCGCTGTACTTCCTCTCTTTTACCCCCCATAGACAAACAGTAACACTTTAACAGAGCTCACAAACCAACATAAAACATTGAACACAAATCCTACTTTCTTCTACACACATACACATACAGTTTAAGAGGCTTATCCCATTCCTATGGACCCCTAAGGCAGTATGCTACCTCCATTGCGCCGTATATTTCCATTGTTCCTAAATTTCTGCTACCACGAGTTCCGCGGACATTCGATGAGCGGTCACATCAATCATATAATTCGTCAACCATAAGTTAACATAATAATGTTATGAAGTGATTTGCATTTTAATGAGGGAAATAAGTATTTGACCCCTCTGCAAAACATGACTTAGTACTTGGTGGCAAAACCCTTGTTGGCAATCACAGAGGTCAGACGTTTCTTGTAGTTGGTCACCAGGTTTGCACACATCTCAGGAGGGATTTTGTTCCACTCCTCTTTGCAGATCTTCTCCAAGTCATTAAGGTTTCGAGGCTGACGTTTGGCAACTCGAACCTTCAGCTACCTCCACAGATTTTCTATGGGATTAAGGTCTGGAGACTGGCTAGGCCACTCCAGGACCTTAATGTGCTTCTTCTTCAGCCACTCCTTTGTTGCCTTGGCCGTGTGTTTTGGGTCATTGTCATGCTGGAATACCCATCCACGACCCATTTTCAATGCCCTGTCTGAGGGAAGGAGGTTCTCTCCCAAGATTTGACGGTACATGGGCCCCGTCCATCGTTCCTTTGATGCGGTGAAGTTGTCCTGTCCCCTTAGCAGAAAAACACCCCCAAAGCATAATGTTTCCACCTCCATGTTTGACGGTGGGGATGGTGTTCTTGGGCTCATAGGCAGCATTCGTCCTCCTCCAAACACGGCGAGTTGAGTTGATGCCAAAGAGCTCCATTTTGGTCTCATCTGACCAAAACACTTTCACCCAGTTTTCCTCTGAATCATTCAGATGTTCATTGGCAAACTTCAGACGGCCCTGTATATGTGCTTTCTTGAGCAGGGGGACCTTGTGGGCGCTGCAGGATTTCAGTCCTTCACGGAATAGTGTGTTACCAATTGTTTTCTTGGTGACTATGGTCCCAGCTGCCTTGAGATCATTGACAAGATCCTCCCGTGTAGTTCTGGGCTGATTCCTCACTGTTCTCATGATCATTGCAACTCCACGAGGTGAGATCTTGCATGGAGCCACAGGCAGAGGGAGATTGACAGGTCTTTTGTGTTTCTTCCATTTGCGAATAATCGCACCAACTGTTGTCACCTTCTCACCAAGCTGCTTGGCGATGGTCTTGTAGCCCATTCCAGCCTTGTGTAGGTCTACAATCTTGTCCCTGACATCCTTGGAGAGCTCTTTGGTCTTGGCCATGGTGGAGAGTTTGGAATCTGATTGATTGCTTTTGTGGACAGGTGTCTTTTATACAGGTAACAAGCTGAGATTAGGAGCACTCCCTTTAAGAGTGCTCCTAATCTCAGCTCGTTACCTGTATAAAAGACACCTGGGAGCCAGAAATCTTTCTGATTGAGATGGGGTCAAATACTTATTTCCCTCATTAAAATGCAAATCAATTTCTAACATTTTTGACATGCGTTTTTCTGGATTTTTTTGTTGTTATTCTGTCTCTCACTGTTCAAATAAACCTACCATTAAAATTATAGACTGATCATTTCATTGTCAGTTGGCAAATGTACAAAATCAGCAGGGGATCAAATACTTTTTTCCCTCACTGTATATATATACCACAACCTCAAGTCCCCGGGACTTACCTAAATTCACCTAACGTGCTTTTAGGATTTTTCGGCCCATCCTAATGATCGCCTCGTTAGAGGGCTTTCCTAGATTCGCAATGTCCTAATTTGTATACATTTACCTTAGTTCCTGGCCTTTCCTTCATTGTATTCTTTTTGATTTTTATTCAAGCAAAATATCCCTATAGACACTCCCCCCTGTTTGCGTTGCTTTCAACGCAAACAAATTTAGAACGGACTCCTATCCCACAGCAAATAACAGCAAAGCACACACGCAAGTTCTTAACGGTGCATTCATTCAACGCACACACACAGACACACGAACTGACCAGTGCCCAAAGTAGCGAGAACTCACCCTTATCTGCCGGACTCTGGAGCGAGAGTCAGCTCGGCGCCCATGAATGGAACGCTGAGAAAAGACTCAACACGACCAAATTCCTCGTCGCCATTTTGTGGTGTCGAGAAAACTATGCTGAGATGCTGTGAGAACAAGAATTCCGCTGACACTGTACTTTGATTATAAAGGTTTATTTATATCAAAGGGTTCCAGCGTCAATTTACAGATATCTGGAGAACAACGACCCAAATTTGTAATATGTTATTCTGTCCTCCTTTGTTTTAACCGTGGTATTTATATCCTATGCCCTATGTAACATAACATGGGTGTTTTCCCTACAGACCAATCCCAGGAGGCCACCTAACAGACTTCCTCGGCTTTAGGGTGCCCCTATAGAACTACTCCCCAGATGCTCCCTTTAAGCTGAGTCAACATCCTCTAAAACCATTTGAAACCATTAGCAAAGTCATAAATTCCTCAGATACCACACATACTTGAGTAAAAGTAAAGATACCTTAATAGAAAATGACTCAAGTAAAGTGAAAGTAATCCAGTAAAATACTACTTGAGTGAAAGTCTAAAAGTATTTGGTTTTAAATATACTTAGGTATCAAAAGTAAATGTAATTGCTAAAATTTCAACTGAGCATGTTATCTTGTTACCATGGCTTTGGCCATGTTTAGAATTTCTGATTTAATCAGGTACAACAGAATGAACGGAAGGGAGTGACAGGAAAAGGATACAGTATTATGTAATAGAGGATGCCGCCACAGAAATAGCTTTGGTGTCTCATTGTACTGTAGTACAGAGATGGTTCAAAATATGCAAGGAAGGTTAGCATATTCTGATAGCAATTCAAAACCTTGCATAAACTAAATGGTGTAGAGTCGAGAGTTACGAGACGGAAGAGAAGCTACTGCTGTGGATACATTCTCTTGTGAGTAGAATCTTTTTCCTTTTGCTTTCCAACCTATTTTCTCTCATCTAAATGGAAAGTGTGGTCTATGTCAAACTGCTCTGGATGGGTAGTATTGTTTCATATCTTTGTCGCCACAGAACCATCTCTAAGGGAAAAAATTATGTCAAGCACATTGAAACACATTATGTATATAGCTAACAATGTTCAAAATATAGTTTTTTGTTGTTTGATTTTACAAATGAATGAATAGCATTTAGCCATCAAAGCTCCCTCAACTACATTAGGGGGATATGCCCCTGCCCATGACAATGTGCGTGAAAAAGTGCAAGTTTAAATGCTGTTGCACACTCTTCCTCCCTTTGTAAAATATAAATAGCTCTGCAGATGTGATGGAAACACGGCATATCCTGGTCTCCGTATTTGTCTGATCCTGGCCCTCTGTGAGTTTTTTAAATAATCCTCCATCTGTCAGTAAGATATTGCTCTGCAAAAATAACTATGGTACAGTAATGTGTACAATAGATGTACAGTAATTCCTTGTCTATCTTTCCTCAGTGCTCCACCCACACCAGTGCCTGTCAGTGTATTTCCAGAACCAGGGTCTCCTTTATGTGGCTCTGGGGAGAGATCTGGTCCTGCTGACCCAGTTCCAGATTACACCAACAGAGAAGATCATCATGGTGACTTGGGACCGCGAGACTGAGAAGGGTCAGGGACAGGTCAGGCTGGCCAATCACCAAGATGCACCTGGCAATCCTCTAGACCAGAAGGGGGCCTTATTTAGGGTGGCGAATATAAGTTCATCTAACTATGGAGTCTACACCATCACTGTGACTGACCAGATGGGGAACGAGGAATCCTCAAAGTTACTTGTTAGAGAGAGTGGTGAGAAACAATTACACCAGTAATTCGGGTCACTACCTAGATTTAGTTTGGGGCATATACTGTGCAAACTAAAAAGTCACATTAGCCTCGGTCACAGGCTTTCACCTACCCTTCCGAACAATGTGAGTGAAGCCTGGGTGCCGAGGCTAACCTTATGTGCAGAACTATGTAAGGACGCAGTAACCAATTTAGCTATATTTGGACCATTTGTTCCTCCTAACTTTTTCTCTCCCTCACTCTCGCCTAGTTGCTGCTCCTGTGGCGTCTTTGCCGCTCCTGTGTGAGGTGGCCAATGACAGGGCACAGTGGGACAGCCCAGTGTTTTCCTGGTTGGTGGATGGGGTAGAGGTGTCCAATCAGACAGCCAATCTCTCTACAGATGGCAGGAGACTCTACGTGTCTGGAATGAAGGGCCACAACTACACCTGTGTTGTCAACAGCAGTCTGGGGACTAGTGTTACATACTACATCACTGGTATACATGTATTATGATTTTATATTATAATTATTTTGATTGAGGTTTTTTGTCTTTCATGCTTCTTTGCTGTGGCCTAGATTCTTCTACACCATCCCAAAGTAACCAGACCTTTGAGACTCTGTGTGGTGTACTATTGGCCATCATCATAGTGCTTCTAATCATATGTGGACATCTCTGTTGGTAAGATAACAGAACATCTCCCCGGATTGTCTTTTACAGTAATAGATTAATAAACTCCCGGTATTCTGTTTGGTGCGCGCACACTTTTGACATTGCTGTGTGTTATTAACAGGAGATGCAAGCAGCAGAGGACGAATGGGATTATATGACCTGAGGATGTCCATCGCTTTCCATTATCATTCTTATTTATGACACTTTGTTACTCTGTTACACACTGCACGATCACACAATTCCTTGGCACATGCAGAGACCGTATGATATGAGGAGTTTAATGTAATATTCTATTGAAACAAGTCACACTACCAGACATCAAAGATCATTCCTATCAAGAGCTTTGGAACTATGCACCATGAATAAAATATATTGAAATGCCTATTTATTGGCGTATTTGTATGGCTGTTTGTGGTACATATTGATGCAGTGTCCACACATATATTTGGAATATTAATATATTTTTTAAGTACTGTATGCCATCACATTAAGATTTGTGCACATGTACAAATATGTTGAAATGTACCTAAACCTGCTTTGTAATGCCTATGTACAGTGCATTCAGAAAGTATTCAAACCCCTTGACTTTTTCCACATTTTGTTACGATTCAGCCTTAATCTATAATTGATTAAATAGTTTTTTTCCCTCATCAATCTACACACATGACAATGCAAAAACAGGTTTAGATTTTTTTGCAAATTATTTAACAATAAAAAACTGAAATCTTATATTTACATAAGTATTCAGACCCTTTACTCAGCACTTTGTTGAAGCACCTTTGGCAGCGATTACTTCCCGAGTCTTCTTTGGTATGACGCTACAAGCTTGGTACATTTGTATTTGGGGAGTTTCTCCCATTCTTCTCTCGAGATCCTCTCAAGCTCTGTCAGGTTGGATGGGGAGCATCGCAGCACAGCTACTTTCAGGTCTCTCCCAGAGATGTTCGATCAGGTTCAAGTCCAGGCTCTGGCTGGGCCACTCAAAGACATTCAGAGACTTGTCCTGAAGCCACTCCTGCATTGTCTTGGCTGTGTGCTTAGGGTCGTTGTCCTGTTGGAAGGTGAACCTTCGCCCCAGTCTGAGGTCCTGAGCGATCTGGATCAGGTTTTCATCTAGGATCTCTCTGTACTTTGCTCCGTTCATCTTTCCCTCGATCCTGACTAGTCTCCCAGTCCCTGCTGCTGAAAAACATCACCACGGCATGAGGCTGTCACCACCATGCTTCACCGTAGGGATGGTGCCAGGTTTCCTCCAGAAGTGACACTTGGCATTCATGCCAAGAAGTTTAATCTTGGTTTCATCAAACCAGAGAATCTTGTTTCTCATGGTCTGAGAGTCTTTAGGTCCCTTTTGGCAAACTCCAAGCGGGCTTTCATGTGCCTTTTACTGAGGAGTGGCTTCCGTCTGGTCACTCTACCATAAAGGCCTGATTGGTGGAGAGCTGCAGAGATGGTTTGTCCTCTGGAACTCTCAGAGTGACCATCGGGTTCTTGGTCACCTCCCTGACCAAGGCCATTCTCCCCGATTGCTCAGTTTGGCCGGGCGGCCAGTTCTAGGAAGAGTCATGGTGGTTCCAAACTTCTTCCATTTCAGAATGATGGAGGCCACTGTGTTCTTGGGGACCTTCAATGCTGCAGACATTTTTTGGTACCCTTCCCAGGATCTGTGCCTCGACACAATCCTGTATCGGAGCTCTACGGACAATTCCTTCGACCTCATGGCTTGGTTTTTGCTTTGACATGCACTGTCAACTGTGGTACCTTTTATATAGACGGGTTTGTGCCTTTCCAAATCATGTCCAATCAATTGAATTTACAACAGGTGGACTCCAATCAAGTTGAAGAAACATCTTAAGGATGATCAATGGAAACAGGATGCACCTGAGCTCAACTTTCAGTCTCATTGCAAAGGGTCTGAATACTTATGTAAATAAGGTATTTCTCTTTTTTTAAATGCAATTTCAAAAAATTCTAAAAACCTGTTTTCGCGTTGTCATTATGCGGTATTGTGTGTAGATTGATGAGAATTTCTATTTATTTAATCAATTTTAGAATACGGCTGTAACGTAACAATGTATGCTATAAAGCAAATGGAATAAATCCAACTGGGCTTTGTAGTTTGTTTGTGTTTTTTTTATTTTAGTTGAAACTGGACACATCAGATAATCTTCATTATTATCCGGGTTATGATGGGTTTTGCTACAACAATATCAAGCTATTCCTTAAAGATGCATTCCAGCTATTTTGGAACTTTTCCTGTTGAAAAACAATATCCCACGTATAAATACAGTAATGTTCAAACACAAAAAAATATGTTTTGAGAAACTGTTTTTTAGACAAGTGCAAACTTAATGGAGTAGGCCATTCAAGGAGTTGGTTTGATGGTGCCCTCTGATGTCATCAGCCTCCCCCCTTGCTTGCAGAAACAATAGAGGAGCAATAGAGAACAAATGAGGAAAGGCCCACGCCCCACTTGTGCTATGTCATGACATACCTGGACCCCCTATTGAGATGTGCATTTTGTTAAGTAAATCAGATGTTAAATGAGGTGAAAAGGAGACTGGAGTGTGACTTTAATTTGGTTTTTAAAAAAATCTGTCTACTTTTGCAAAAACAAAAGGTTTGTTTTCATATTGTCATTATGCGGTATTGTGTGTAGATTGATGAGAATTTCTATTTATTTAATCCATTTTAGAATACGGCTGTAACAAAATGTGGAATAAGTCAAGCGGTCTGAATACATTTACATTTTAGTCATTTAGCAGACGCTCTTATCCAGAGCGACTTACAGTTAGTGAATACATATTTTTTTATACTGCCCCCCCGTGGGAATCGAACCCACAACCCTGGCGTTGCAAACGCCATGCTCTATCAACTGAGCTACATCCCTGCCGGCCATTCCCTCCCCTACCCTGGACAACGCTGGGCCAATTGTGCGCCACCCATGAGTCTCCCGGTCGCGGCCGGCTGCGACAGAGCCTGGATTCGAACCAGGATCTCTAGTGGCACAGTTAGCACTGCGATGCAGTGCCTTAGACCACTGCGCCACTCAGGAGCTGAATACTTTCCGAATGCACTGTATGCAATAAAGCAAATGGAATAAATGCACATTATTGTGACAGTGCATGTGTGCATTTAACCTATTTTATAACCTGTAAGGAAATCTTTGTAAGCGTCCACTTTGCTACACTTCCATAGGAGACAGTGAAGAGACATAGAAACACACCAGTCTGGATGAGTGATTGATTCTCTGCATAATCTCTGCTGTCAGGTGAAGTGAGGACAAGCACCTCCTATTTGATGAGTTATCTCCATCCACTGGCTTGTTTTAGAACTGCCTCTATTCATAATATCGTTTATGGATGGTCATTGTCATTCACAGAGAATGTGAATTGAAAATACTGTATTGTTAATTGTTTTTGCAAAAGTAGACAGATTTAAAAAAAAAAAAAAAAATTAAAGTCACACTCCAGTCTCCTTTTCACCTCATTTAACATCTGATTTACTTAACAAAATGCACATCTCAATAGGGGGTCCAGGTATGTCATGACATAGCACAAGTGGGGCGTGGGCCTTTCCTCATTTGTTCTCTATTGTTTCTGCAAGCAAGGGGGGAGGCTGATGACATCAGAGGGCACCATCAGACCAACTCCTTGAATGGCCTACTCCATTAAGTTTGCACTTGTGTCTAAAAAACCGTTTTTCTCAAAACATATTTTTTGGTGTGTGAACATTACTGTATCTATACGTGGGATATTGTTTTTCAACAGGAAAAGTTCCAAAATAGCTGGAATGCATCTTTAAGGAATAGCTTGATATTGTTGTAGCAAAACCCATCATAACCCGAATAATAATGAAGATGATCTGATGTGTCCAGTTTCAACTAAAAGAAAAAAACACCAAAAAACTACAAAGCCCATTTTTGAACACAGCATTCCAACATTGTTAACTTTCCCTTGAGAGAATGCTATTCTAATTTAATGTACGTTTCTATTTGCTCATTGTGTCTAAACCTTGGTGTGAAAGTATGTGTCCGGACAATATGATTTGTTGCATTGTCATTTGAGAGGGTACATAGACACAAATAGATGGTTGGGGGAGGAGTGATAATCAGTGTGATAATTTTACAAGAGAATACAATAGAATCCACTTGTTTAAACACAGCTGAGTAGTGGCATTTACTGTACAGGAAAGGGGGGGAAATTGCACCGCTTGAAAACAAGGTGACGCCTAAGTACCTAACTGGCTGGACCTCACAAAGGGAAGGGCTGTGAGTACAAAGTCCTGCACCAGACTACAATCTATCAGAGCCACTTCTTAGTTTTTGAGGGTTGACATTTTTCTGTTCTATTTGCTAAAGGATTTTTTTTGACGACATGACAGGTGTTTTTATATTGTAAAACTGCATCCAAGCTGCCTGGCGTGGCGTGCCCTACCCCTGGAAACAGGGTTCCTTTTGAATGAATGCACTCCTGCCACTTCCGGACTCATAATCTCTGACTCCTAATCCATTGTACAGCTGGGAAGGTAAGTGAATTTCAAACTGCTGCTGAGTTTGCTCAAGTGCAAGTCATTCTCTATGCATAAATATAGACCGGTTACTTAACGCAATCTACTATGTCAGACTTTGAAAGTAAGTGAAACAATGACCTCTTCGTTGGAAAACTGGGTCTCTATTAGTCTATTATCAGAGAGGTCATGGGAACCATCCAAGACAAACGCTCTATCTCTCTGTCTCACAGACTCACACACAGGTGCCATGAGGCTGCAACACTGTCTCTCCTGGAGCCTCTCTTTGCTACTGCTTCTCTTGTGTAAGTGCTTTTGTGCAAAATGATACATTACATAAAAATGCCACACTACTGTATCTAAGTGTATTGGTGCAACAAGGCAAAGTGTAGTTGACTGCTCTATTTGGCCATTTGTGTATGTTGTATTTACCATATTAGTTTTGAACTGACACATTATCAGTAGTCTCATGTGACAGCCTTAACATTTGGTTCTGGATGTCGAGATTACATAAAAAGAGATTCTCAAGTTTTTCAGTTTGTGTGTGATAAACTGTCTTCAGTGCACACTCAACGTCTGTAATAATTATGTCGCAGTTGCTTGCATCAGCACTTTTGAAAGAACACGGTTTCAGTTATTTTAGGTCCTCATGAGGACAAAGTCAAAGCCAAAGAATACAGTACTATTGTATATGTCTAGACCGAGCCAAGAAGCGTGCAGCTCTGGTCATCTGAGGTGATTGCGACAATAGGGTGTGTTTCAATCTGCGTCTTCTGAGGAAATGATATTTTCTCCTTTAGGAGATGTAAACTTCCCTTTTGTGTTAGATGGAGGTTTCCACAGAGGGTTAGTGATGTAACAACGAAGCTTGACAAACATCACACCAGGCAGAACTGTCAAGTTCTATCAGTCATTTGTTGACATTACCTGATGAAAGTCCTGTTCACTTCATACTAAATATAAATGTAAGAACTCATGAGCTAAGTCATTAAAAGCATAGAATCCAACAATATCAGTGGTTAGCAGTGGAGGCTGGTGTCATTTTAAATCGGAGGACAGGCTCATTGAAATTACCATTCATTCCACTCCTCCCATTACAATGAACCCTTCTTCCAATTTCTCTCTCCATTAGTCTCCACCAGGTGTTAGTAAGGTATTGATTTCCAATCACCACAATACAATAAAAACGTATGATCATGTTTCTGTCCCCAGTGTCTTGTAGGTACCAGTGCGTGTCGGTCCACTTCCAGACCCTGCAGCCGGTCAATGTACTCCCAGCCGGACGTCTAGTTCTCCAGGTCCAGATCGACCGCGGTCCCAAAGAAAATATCTCTATGATAACCTGGGAGCGGGAGCCAGAAAACGCAAAACCTCCAGGGAATCCTGGGAAGGTGACGTTGATTACATTCCCCGGTCAAGAAAGACGCTTGGACGGGCGTCTGAGTGTGGAGCAGCAGGGGGCAATACTGAAGCTGGAGGGCTTTGGCGTGGCGGACAGCGGGGTGTACATCGTGACCGTCACTGACCAGGCTGGCGTCAAGACCTCTGCGCAGTGTATCGTCAAGGAGTACGGTACGACGGTCAACATGGTCTCATTAGAATATATCAAAGTAGTGACATTTAACCATTGCACCTATGCAACGTATTATTTAAATGTAACTATAATGACGTGTTAGTTATGTGACAATACAGCTGACAGACTTTCTGATTAAGTTGCTGTTTTGAATACATTCCTAGATATTCCTTCCTGTCCCCTGGAGTTATGTTCTTATAGAGGATAAGCTGTTCAGTCAGTTCTGCCTAAGCTCTTTCTTTGTCTTTATAATATAAATGTATGCTTCACTGCAGTCCAACACTCAACTTTGAGTAGGTAGTATTTCAGTTTATTAGTCCAACGACTGTCTCGCACAATCTCCATTCAATAGTTCCAAGCTCTATATTTCTTTCTGTCACGTCTTCTTTCTAAGTTTCTGATCTGTTTTCTCCTCACAGCCTCATACTTCTCAAGTCACCACCACCAAGCCTCAACTCACATTGTTACTTCACAACGCAACCACCCTCTGTTCTCTCTCCACTCTGTCTCTCTCTTTCTCCTCTTCAAGACAATTTTTGGTTCCAACTTCCAAGTCTCACCTTTCTCACACCTGGTCTCATTCTCTTTTCTCTGTCTCTTGTCTTTCCTCTCAGAGGCTGTGCACCACCCCTCAGTGAGAGTGAACGTGTCCCACTCCTCCCTGTTCTGTGTGGAGACCTGGGGGACAGACCTTAAATTCAGCTGGCTCCACGAGCGGGCAGCCATCACCGATGTTGTGGGACACGTGTCGCCTGATGGGAAGACCCTGTTTGTCTCCTCCGCTCCCATCTGTGGTCACTTCACCTGCATGGTGAGCAACAAGCTGGGCCACAGCTCTGCCACCTACACAGCAGGTATGGAACCCCACGCACTAACTAACCCCATCTGTCTCTCAGTCTCTACACAAACTCCATCTGTCTCTCATGCCTGATTCACACTACAGGGCCAAACCGAGCCAAGACAAGCTGTACTGGCATGGCCTGGTTACGCATCCACCATACTGTTTTTGTTGGAACCGTCCTAGAAAGGACAATGTTGGCCCTATAGTGTGAATCAGCCATAAGTTTACACAAACTCCATCTGTTTGTCAGTCTCTATGCCAGTGGTCACCCACCCTGGTCATGCAGAGCTACAGTGTATGCAGATTGTTCATCTAGCTACCTAGCGCAGCTCAAGGCTGAATCACATGTGGTTGTGCTAGGTTGTAAGAAAACCCTGCATACCCTGTAGTTCTCCAGGACCAGGGTTGGTGACCAATGTTCTATGTAATAGTCATACTTGAGTAAAAGTACTCAATTGTCATACTTGAGTAAAAGTAAAGATACCTTAATAGAAAATGACTCAAGTAAAAGTGAAAGTCACCCAGTAAAATACTACTTGAGTAAAAGTCTAAAAATATTTTGTTTTAAATATACTTAAGAATCAAAAGTAAATGGAAATGCTAAAATGTACTTAAGTATCAAAAGTAAAAGTATAAATCATTTCAACTTCCTTATATTAAGAAAACCAGACGACACAATTTTCTGGGTTTTTTTATTTATTTACGGATAGCCAGGGGCACACTCCAACACTCAGACATAATTTACCAACGAAGCATTTGTGTTTAGTGAGTCCGCCAGATCAGAGGCAGTAGGGATGACCAGAGATGTTCTCTTGATAAGTGTGTGAATTGGACCATTTTCCTGTCAAAATGTAACGAGTACTTTTGGGTGTCAGGGAAAATGTATGGAGTAGAAAGTACATTATTTTCTTTAGCAATGTAGTGAAGTAAAAGTAAAAGTTGCCAAAAATATGAATAGTAAAGTAAAGTACAGATACCCCAAAAAACGACTTAAGTAGTACTTTAAAGTATTTTGACTTAAGTACTTTACACCACTGGTAATAGTACTGCAAAGCATGGGTAAGAAATCTCATATCTCCTTGACAGAGGCATTGTTGAATGCAGAACCTAGTCGATGCCCAAGCTAGTGCCACACCATCCGTATCCATTGAAGGTACAGCCTCTCTGTGTGTGTGAGTGGTGTGCCCTATGTAGCGTTCATGTTAATATGTACAGTGTTCATATTTTTGAGAGCCAAGTCCGAGTGACTCCGAGGCTGTCCTATGGACACCATAACATGTCCCCATATTGCTTTGTTGTGACCTTGTCCTGTCTGGTCCATCAGAGCCGTGTGAGAGAGAGGGCAAAAGGACCACGGTGGCAGTGGTCTCTGTCATCATCCTGCTGGTCTGTGGAGCAGCGCTAGCTTTTCTACTGTGGAGGTACGGTAACACACTGACACCACTGATCAAATAGTCACGCAGCGCAGATACACATTTCATTTTGAGCTACACTACATACTGTAAGATAAAGCCATATATAGCAAGGAAAAGGAGGTCGCTGACAGACTGCAGAAGTATTTTTTTTTAAATCAAAGGGATGGACACCTCAAAATAAGAAGCTACAATATCACCTCAAGGCATTGCACGCTTGCCATTGTCAGTTGATACAATTATTTTGTTTATTCTATCAGTACAGTGTAGGGTGGCAGGTAGCATTGGGCCAGTAACTGAAAGGTCGCTGGTTCGAATCCCCAAGCCGACTAAATAAAACATCTGTTGATGTGCCCTTGAGCAAGGCACTAAACCTTAATTACTCCTGTAAGTCACTCTGGATAAGAATGTCTGCTAAATGTAAAAAATGTATAGTGTGTTGTTGTATTTACACATATTTGGGTTTCTGTTTAGGAGACACAAATTATACAGTAACAGAGGAGAGAGGCTTCAGGAGCATTTTGAGGACAACTTGTAACGGTGAACCATTGATTACAGTACCCAAGTTATTTCGCTACACTCCCCTACTCAAAGATGGACTCATAAAAGGACAGTAAGTGTACAAAACACTTTGGGAGGAGCTTCCTGCCCTGTGAGCAGCATGACCTTTCAAAGCATTGGAACAATGTGGAGAGTGAACTGCTTATTGGCCAATTGACGAGTTCTAAAAATGGAAAGATCAACTTTCGCCCAGTGTGTTGACTGTTTTTGTAGTAGCTATCATTTTTATACTACCTCCTCTTGATATTTTTTTATATAATGCTCTAAAATAAATTGTTTTAAAAACAATTCCTTATTTTGTAATTTTTCTATATTATAAACGTATTGTATATTTACCTGTGTATTCTTTGTAATAAACACCACACATTTTAAACTGTGTGAGGCTTTAGTTCAATTGATCGCTATTGTAAATCCACAATTCAGTCAGGGAATGGGAGTCAAAGTACGACCGCTCCATACATAGTGAATTTCAAAATGCTTTATGGTAATTAATAGAATAGTGTGTGTGCGTTCGTGCGTGTGTTCATGTGTGTGTCCACCTCATCAGTACATCTCTCTGGTGAAGCCGGACTTGGGGACGGTGACTCCAGGGATGATCTTGGCAGTCTCAGCCTCAGGCAGGGCCTCCAGGCGCTGGCGGATGTGGTTGCTTCGCTGCTCCAGCTCCAGGGCCTCCTGCTTCCTGGACAGGTCTTCTCCCATACAGGCCTGGTGCTCCTCTAAGGACTGCAGAGAGTGCCTGGTACACAGGGTCAGAGAACAGCAACACAGGGTTAGATGGTGTGTGGGGGGATCCTTATATTAAACGCCAATATGCTATGAAAGTGAGCACATCAGATGTTCAATATGCTGTGAAAGAGCTATACGAGGTGAACAGATGATGTGCTCAGTTTCATAGCAACTCAATAACACAAACACTCACATAGACCTGGCTAGATTCTGCTGTAATGCTTCTATGGTGGCTCCCAACTGCTTAGCCTCTTCCACCAGCCCAGAATGCACCTACAGAGATTACAGAGTCAAGGCATGGACACACATTATATACTGAACAAAAATATAAATGCAACATGTAACAATTTCAAAGATTTTACTGAGTTACAGTTCATTGAAGGAAATCAGTCAATTGAAATAAATTCATTCGGCCCTAATTTATGGATTTCACATGACAGGGCAGGGGCGCAGCCATGGGTGGGCCTGGGAGGGCATAGGCCCACCCACTGGGAAGTCAGGTCCAGCCAATCAGAATTAGATTTTCCCCTCAAAAAGGCTTTATTACAGACAGAAATAGTCCTAAGTTTCATCAGCTGTCCGGGTGGTTGGTCTCAGATGATCCCGCATGTGAAGAAGCCGGATGTGGAGGTTACACGTGGTCTGCGGTTGTGAGGCCGGTTGGACGTACTGACAAATTCTCTAAAACTATGTTGGAGGTGGCTTATTGTAGAGAAATGAACATTCAATTCTCTGGCAACAGCTCTGGTGGACATTCCTGCAGTCAGCATGCCAATTCCACGCTCCCTCAAAACTTGAGACATCTGTGGCCGTTTATTGTCCCCAGCACAAGGTGCACCTGTGTAATGATCATGCTGTTTAATCAGCTTCTTGATATGCCACACCTGTCAGGTGGATGGATTATCTTGGCAAAGGAAAAATGCTCACTAAAGGGCATGTAAAACATTTTAGAGAAATAAGCTTTTTGTGCGTATGGAACATTTCTGGGATCTTTTATTTCAGCTCATGAAACATGGGACCAACACTTTACATGTTGCGTTTATATTTTTGTTCAGTATAATATGACAAACAAAGACACAGCTCCTTTTCCATGACAAAATCAGCCTTTACAACAACAGGTCCTCTGAAGGGTCAATGTGTGCAGGCTTTCATAGGACCAAAGAATACCCATTCCTGCTTTACAGGTTAGAATCAACCATAGAATAGAATGAGTAGAACGGACATTAACATTCAAGTCAATTTCCCTTGACGTGTGGACCGGTGGTCATAGTGAGTGTACTGTCAAATTGCCCTGGTTTGAGGGGCTTTTTCCCCATTCCAGTAATTCTATTTTTATGGTTCTACCTGGTCTCTGCAGAGGTCTACTCCGGGCCTCGAGTTCCTGTTCTCCAGCCTGGTATGGACCAGCTTCAGGGGGCACTCTGTAGCCTGCAGCTCCTGCTCCATATGATGGATGTCCCTCATCAGCTCTGTGATCTCCTCTCTGGTCTGGTGGGACAGACAGAGCCAAAGGAGCACAGAGTCAGTACTAAGAAGCCCGAGAAACCTCCCACAGCTAAGAAGGGCCGTCTAGAATTGTCCTCTTTGCTTTCTATGGTCTATGCTAGTCAATACTATCTTATCACCATCTATGCTCTCTATGGTTCTTGGTGTAGCCTCTAACTCTCACACAATAGCTGATTCATAGGTTCCACTTCTTGTTTGGATCTACTGTACTCTACTGTATATATGATGTTACTGATCCATAACAGATTCATGAGAAACCTAGGCGATCTGCCTTCCCTGCATTGACCCCAGTCTTATCTAATCTCTCCCTGTGCATTCCGGACACTGCTATTGTTATTGCCTCTGGAGTGGACTTCCTTACCAGGATTATATGCATTCATGTCTATGGAGATAGATCGGGCCCAGTGGAGCGCTAACAAAGGAAAATGGCTGTGCTGCTCTGATTATAAGGGAGATCAGTGGAAGGGTGGAGAGAGCAGCTTAAGTCAGTGCGTCCGAGAGAGACGGGGGAGGTGGTCTGATGGGTTTAGTGGATGTATAGCATGAGAAGGACCCGGTGTAAGTCATGAATGCTTAACAAGAGCCTTTCTAAGACTTAGCTCTGGATACATGGTGGTCTTCCCAAGGCCTCTATCAGGGTCTGTCCACAATATCAATATTTTCCAACTCTAGTCAAAGATAGCAGCATTTTTCAGGACTCTGTACTCACAGCCGTGTGCTGCCAGTGCAGCTGACTGCAGGCCTGCTGGAGCTGGTGGGCCCTCTTGCGCAGGTTGAACCCAGTGGTGATCCGCTGCCCCTCCAGGTCATTCTGGCTCTAAAGGGACATCAGAGATGGGGGCATCAGACACCACACAGAGGAGAGAGATGAGTAAGAGTCTTATGGTGCAGTTATAAGGAATATGGGGCACGTATTCAGAAAGTCTCAGAGTAGGTGTGCTGATATAGGATCAGGCTTGGATTTTAGATCCTAATGAATAAGATTATATGGAGAAGGGGGACCTGATCCTACCGTAGATTATAATAATATAATAATATGCCATTTAGCAGACGCTTTTATCCAAAGCGACTTACAGTCATGTGTGCATAAATTTTTACGTATGGGTGGTCCCGGGGATCGAACCCACTACCCTGGCGTTACAAGCGCCATGCTCTACCAATTGTCACTCCTACTCAGAGACACTCTTGGAGAGGATGATGTTGCTATACTGAGTCAGTTACACTTCAGTTTATGAAATTGGCCAATCACAATGGCAGTTTTTTTAAGTAACGTGTCCTGAAAGCGTATTCCGAGAACATGCTTATGATGTTTTCAAAAGGGGATGACAATGTCCTCTTCAGACTGTGTGAGTGAGAATACCAACAACCCTCAGGCACACATTACAATCCCCTCGTAAAGATGATATACAGCATTTATTGATCAGACTCCCGTTGCTGTTGAATGCTTCTGTACTGTATATCGATCAGGATGATATTCTTCGGATACATTTTACACCGCTTCAGCCTGAGCCAAATAAAACAAGTGCTAACTCATGCCTTTAAAATAACCCCATATGTCCTCCTCAGCTTAAACAATCCCTTACACCAGCATTCCAAAACACCATTTACTGGGGTCCTTGCAATACATTCATGTCCATAATTACTGGCACCCTTGATAAAGATGAGCAAAAAAGACTGAATAAAATAAATAATACAAATACTGACCTATATTGTATGCAATTTCTGACCATAGCATCTGACCATAGATGACATGAAAATAGAGCTCTTTGGACATGCACACAAGTGGTGGGTTTGGCGTTGAGAAACATATACAGAAAAGTATCTCATACCTCCTGTAAAATATGGTGGTGGATCTTTGATGTTATGTGTGTCACACCGTGATCTGTTCACCTTTCTTTGTGATTGTCTCCACCTGTCACGACTCCCTCCGAAGCTGCCTCATCTCCTTGTTCGGGCAGGCTTCAGCGTTCGTCGCCACCGGCCTTCTAGCCACTGCCGCTCCTCTTTTCATCATTCCATTTGTTTTGTCTTGTTTTTCACACACACCTGGTACATATCCCCTCATCAGTCTCTGTATAATTATTCCCTCTGCTCCCCCATGTTATTGTGTGTTATTGTTCCATGTGGAGGTGTCGCTAGCTCGTGTTGAGCATTGTGTTACTTTTATCGCCGGGATATTCACCCGTGTGTTTTGTTTTCCCAGTATGCATTTAAGTCGCACTGTATTTGGTTTACACATTGCTGCAGACTGCTGTATTGGCCAAATCAACCCTATTCTTTGATTCACACCTCCTGCCCCTGGCTCTGTCCTACTCACTTTGTTACAGAATAACACACCCAAACAGCATGGAGTCAGCAGGAGTGGGGAATATGCCTGGAGTCCTTGAGTGGTTCCGGGAGCATTCCACCATGTTAGCCAGCTTGGGTGAAGCGATGGATCGGGTTCTCCAGGCTGTCCAGCGCTTGGAGAAGAGAGGATCTGACCTAGTGGAACCAGCTGAGCGACGGATCCAGCCACTCACACACCAGCAACCAGGGGTATTCACCTGTCTCTACCGAGGGAATACAACAGGACAGCTGCCCGCTGCCAGGGTTTCCTCCTGCAGCTGGACCTCTACTTCAACACCATCAGCCCTGCTCCATCGGATCGGGAGAAGGTGTCCGACCTCGTCTCCTGCCTCTCGGAGAAACCCTGGAGTGGGCCAACGCGGTCTGGAGTGAAGGAGGAGACGCGTTGGACAGCTACGGAGAGTTCGCTCGCCTCTTCCGTGCAGTCTTTGATCATCCCCCCGAAGGAAGAGAGGCGGGCGAGCATCTGTTCCATCTGGGGCACGAGGACAGCGCAAGACTTTGCCCTGGAGTTTAGAGCCCTAGCGGCTGGTTCCGGGTGGAACGAGCGGGCCCTCATCGACCATTTCCAATGCAGCCTGCGTGAGGGCATCCGAAGGGAGCTAGCCTGCCGGGATACCACTCTGACCTTCGACCAACTGGTGGACATGGCCATCCGGTTGGACAACCTGCTGGCTTCGAGAGGACGTC